ATCCAATATCCTCTGCTATTCTATCTCTGTTCAATTTCACTTCCAGGTGATATCCCGACATGATAAGTATCCTGGATACGGCCCTCCCAAACAACCCCTGTATACTTGTGGTCAGGTTGTAACCACACAAAACCATACACTCAAAAACAAAGTTTAACTAATCTATATACTATTTGAGAACATTATGCTGCACTGACGGGTTTCTTACCGGCATTTTTTGTCCTGCGGCCTCATTTCTTTAAATACTGTCGCCACGTAGTTTTGTTCTGAGGCTTTCCTGTGCCAGCGGCTGCTCGCTGTATCCAAAGCCTAAGTTTGGTTACACTCAGTTGAATATTACTCATTACTCAATATTTAATTTTAATTTCCTAACCTACGTATAAGAAGGGTCATTTATGCATTTCATTCTCCAGGAGATGAAGATAAATTTAATTTTTTGACAAAAGATATATGTATATTTGTAAAATAATTTCAATTCAAAATATGAACCACAGTACAAATTTTTTTTTTTTATTCGTTAAAACAAGATTTTGAATGTTTTTGATTTTTTGCGCTTCAAGTTATTCCAATAGCGCCGCAACCAGTTTTTTGCTTTGGTTCCGTTGCACTACTCGTATCTTGTGTTAGTTTCTCACTTGTTATAGTCACTGCTCGATATAAATGGAGTATTGTCATTTCTTTTGGCCTGAATAAATATTATGAGCCTTGTGAAACGCATGAACATGCAGTGTACGATATATATGCCAATAATGGTTTTTATCGAAATCTCCATTTATTTCTCGACTGCTTCGAAACGACTGCTGCATTAAATTTTAAAATAAAGCAATTTTACACACTTTTTGATACCACTTTAGCTCTAAATGGTCTGCCATACTAAGGAATCGGTGACAGGCCTACGGCCTGCAGTGGACGATGCAACCGTTATTATTATTAATTAAATTTCGGAGGACTTCACAGTAGGTCTATTTGACTCTAGCTAAAAGGCTTGTACGAATCTTAAAGTGAAGGAAAGTAGGATGGCTGTCGATTCTTCTTACTTTAAAACTTTAACACAACGAAACGTCTTGCTCGCTATTTGCATGAAATGTAAACATCATACAGCGGTCAACTGCTAACAAAATTCATGAAGGCCTCAGGAGAAAAAACGGTCTGTACAAGGCTTGTTAGCTCTCGCTCAAAGTAGCGCAATCAGGGAGGCCCACGTACTGCCCCCGCGCCTACATCAGCTCTGATTAATTAATATTAGTGGATGAACTTGCTCGACTTTAGGACGTACCTATACTGGTGACGCATCAGTTCAATACCCTCAAAGCAACGAGAGTTACGTCTTCCGGAGACCTATAATGAAGGTAAAATTATGGTACACTGTGATTTGAAATTTTTATTATACTATTAAAAAACAAACAATGCATTAAATCCTATACAGATAACTCTTGAAAGTAGGTCGACGAGTTCGCAATAATCAAACATTTCAGCCTAGTCTTACGTACGCAAGTTTTGATAATACAAAATTAGGGTGTACTTAAGCAAGACGTATCTTTTTGTGCGTGTGTATAAAAAGTTACGAAGTTTTAATAATCCGGCCCCAGAACCAGAGATTATGCATAAATAATCAATTCGGAGCATTTTAATATGGTAATGTTTGAAGGGCATGAAGCTTAATGGCTTGAACTTAATTGAATAGTAGCAATGCAAAATTTCTAATGAATTATTTTCGAATTAGAAAAGATTTATTAACTGATAATCCAAGTTGGATTATTCAACATTTTGATGACAAATTAGGCGATTTTCACTGTCAACATCTACTATATGGAGCCCTGCTGCCAATTATTTATATGAACATATAGTGGCCACATTGCATTGGTTCACTCGCTGATGTTTTCAAGTCTACTCAAAAATTATGAGCTGTCAGAGGTATGTACGAAAAGTTCTTATGGAAGGATTTAAGAAGCTAGTTACGCATGCTCCAGAAGCTCCATTATCTAATGCCAGATATTCTCTAATTTTAGCTTCTACTTTGTCCTCTGATGTAAACATGAGAGTGACTCTACAAGGACAAAGTGTCTACAGTCCATGCCACTAACTTCGCCACAACACTTATATATCGCAGGCCTTCAAAAGAAACGATCTATTTTGTTAAAATATCTGAGCCACAACTTTCTAGCGCAATCGGAAATGCTTCTTAGTTATCATGAAGAAATGAAACCGTGAAAATTGTACCTCTGACCAGGGGCCGGATTATCAAAACATGCTAAGTATACGTAGCCGCTAACGTTTAGCGTAAGTACAGCTAAGTAGACGTGACTCTACTGAGTGTTATTATCGAAACATTTGCGCGGGAAGCTACGTACAAAAATTTGTGCATAACTGTACGCCTGCTCGGATGTGTCGTAAGCGGAGTTACGTACGAATTTTGAGTGTTGAAGCAATATGAGACTATTAATTTACTAGCAGCAAGTTGAATTGTAATAGAATTTTGTCAATAATGAGACTTAGGTATAATATGGGATCGTGCTAGTGCTTTTAGGAAAAAATATTCTATTGAATTTATACCAGAAGCTAATTTTAAAATTTTCTAAATTCTAGGTCTCTCTAAAAAGTCTTCTAGTTTTGAATGGGAATAGTGCAATTTTTTTACCCTGATTGCAAGAAAGTTTGATGAATGATCACAACAAGTGCATTGCTATTTGGATAACGTCACACTTATTTCTCCATATGCACCCTAGTCAGTCTACGCTGATGCCGCTAACACGACACAACCTCCTTCCATCCACGCGCTCTGCGCACTGAGTCGACAGGAGCAGGAAGGAGCTAGGAACAGCAAATCCAAAGCCTCTGATTGGTCAGTTAGTTGGATGGTTTCGATAATACCTTTTCAGATGAGTCATGCGTAAGACAGTTTTGTTAATGCCAAATTTTGACTGACTTACGCCATACGTAACTTTTTGAACGTAAGTACGAAAAGTTACGTGAACTTAGCGAAGTTTCGTTAATCTCTGCCCAGTATTATACCGTTTCTATGGACGAGCCGGTGATTTCGATTCTAACTCACTGTAACATTCATTGTATTGACCGTAACTCTCCTCTCCATTTTCTGTAATCCCCAGTTAATTAACCACCAACAACTCCATCAAAATTCTCATCCACTGGCAAAATCACAACTGGTTTACTTCTCACGCCATGCAGCAGCACCAGTACAAAGTACGAAGTTTCTACTGGTTGGCAACCTTTCTGCATGACAGCGCCACTGCAGTTCAACTTTCGCGGCTCTGCCTGCAGCTAAACCGCGGCTGACCCGGACAAGATCGTTTCTGGTCTGGGCTCAACGTTTTAACAAAAATTTGAAATGAATTGAGGGGTTGTTCGCACTCTCAGGTAGGTGCAAAAATTTTTTTATTATGAACTTTGAGCCTCTTAGAAGATGAAAAATAAACAATGAATAAGTTTGGCAAGAACTGAAACATACAATTTTTTAGTTCTGCCCGAGTTTGAATAGAAAGTGGACCATGGATTATTTTGTTCGAGCTGCACATCAGCCCCTCGTATTCCCATTTGGATTATACATACTGACTTTTTAAGACGAGTAACTCTTTGAATCATGGTGAATGAATACATGCACATTTATTCTATTAACAGGTAAAACCATTTCAGTTTGTCAAATTTACATAATAATTGCGTTGCATTCTCAAAGAGATGCATCAAAGCATTCAGAACGATATGATATAAGCAGTGATGAAAAGAAGTAATGCTTTTTCTTTTAAATCGGCAGCTGTTTACAATCAGAAAATGGTGAAGTTTCCTGAGGACGTGCAAAAAATATAGCTCTTTCCAGCATACAAGTTTTTTTTAAAGGTCAATGATTCGCGATTTTTCGCGCAACATTGCGTAACCACACAATGGAACACTGATAAGAAAGTAAATGAAGCCAGTTTATCATTAATATGACGGGTATAGAAATAAATTTCTTTATCTTTTCCACTAACTCTGAAGGTCACATTTTCGTGTTCTGCATAAATTTCGGGGTGCGGAGTTTACAATTTCTTCCTTGGTGATCTCAAATCCGAAGATGACGCGACTCCACTTGAAGTAAATGTACTAAAGTTATAATGACTGTGTTATTCAGTCAGCAGTGCGTGTATTTAACAGGAGAAACGCAAAAAAACATTGCGGCGGTCCAAAGCAAAAGATTTTTTTGACAGATCCTCAGCCCGTTACGCTATTCGAACTCCCATTTTGATGCGCTCGCAGTCCCGTGCACCTCCGAGTTTTGTAAGATGGAATTTATTTTGTAATGTGAAAAGAAATATGGAGACTTATGTTAAAATAAATGTGGGACTAGCATGCAACCCAGAACGTCGCGTGTTAGATGCACATTGTAATGCTGAATCTACTCATGGAGCAGCGCATGAATAATGAAGATCATGCTGACACATTTCACTGGTACATCTCGAGATGCAAGTTCAGCTGAACACACTCAGCTTGTGATCATTTGCGATCTTAAGTCATCAATCGCATCATCAGCTTGTCATCAATCGCATCATCAATCGTCTTTGCAAATATGGAGCATCTGTTTAAGATCTTCGACACTTCACCTTAACTAACGCTGAGCACGGAGGACATGCTCTTCATAACAGATGAACATCCACTTGTGATGAAAAAATTTGTTATAACACGAATTGAGGCTCTTAAAGAAAATAACTTTCCATGGAAAAAAATGAGAAAATTTAAGCAATTCTATCATCTCTGCTTGCAATTCCATTTTATTATAGGTATTTTTATTTTTTCAACCAGAAAGTTTAAACTTTCCTAATGAACAGTCAAATTTAAATTCTAACATTTGATTATGGACTATGGAGCTAGATGCCATTAGCAGGGGTGACAGATGATCTCTGAAAGACAGCTGTAAGTACGCGATCGACAAATAAAACCAACTGTATCAATAATATCATAAAGCTATAAAGTCAGACCATGTATCGTACCAAGTCACAGGTCTCCTATCAGCCTTTCGTTCACGACGCGTTTTGCCTTAGCCTCTTACCGCTTAAGCCTTTACGACTACCAACATGATGAAATCTGTCGGTCTTGTCCTTCTTCTCACAGCAGCCTTTGCCAACTCCGGTGTTGAAGGGTGAGTGAACTCAGTAAATGCATTCGGACACTGTGCTCCCCCCTCCTGTTCATCTTTATTTTTAATTATTAGATAATATTGTTACGTGCTCTATACAGCCACTACATAAAGTGCTGAAAAGTTGCATTTACAGCTATGGATATTCCTTGTTTTCCTGATTAGAATGAGTTATGTTCATTTTTTATGTTACTCGCCTGGTGAACTTATTCCTATTCATTTCTCTACCCCAGCCACTCAATCGCCAATGCGTGTGCAGCGGCCCTCTCCAGGAAAGTGACGGACGAAATCAACATGGGTGATCCCCTGTATGCCTGCATGTCGACTCCAGCCTGGTCTGCAGTCGCACGTTAGATATTGCAAGATTTATTTCCACCAATTGATTGATCTGTAATTGCAAGATTTATTTCGACCAATTAACTGATATGAAATTTCAAACCATTGCGTTATTCTATGGGTAATTCACCCCATGTATTTATCTGTAATTATGGGTAATTAACCCGATTTTTTTCTGTTTCAAAAACTCATTTATACACTTTTTCTTTTATATTATTGGTGTTATCTAGATACGTTTCTTGAAATAGTGATTGGAACTAGGTATCATAAATTCACTTGAGATCTAAAACAATAAGTATCAATTTGCGTGTTCTGCAGGTGTTAGTGGCTGCGAGAACTCAAACTTCGCATACGGCCCTCCTAAGTGCCAAGTTCTCGCAGCTCCCTTCATGAAATGTGTCGCGGGAAAAAGTGGTTACGTAAGTCGGGAAGTATCGCTAAGATGCATTTTCATCATCTGCCATGAACTCCACTTTGAATATTAGCTGGCATTATATGTAGTGTTGAACGTTAGGTGACCAATGTTATATTTAGTGCACCATCAGAGATTTCAATTTCAAGCAATTTTATAAGTTATTAAATTATATTATGAAGTTCCATCCATGTAAATGTGACTGCAGCACTCATTCATTCATTCATTTCTAGTTGAACGCTGATGGCTCGATCAACAACACAAAGATCTTAGCCCAGTTCAAGACTTGGGCCACCAGCGACCCCAAGTGCAACATTACTCAGTACGACTTCGCTGTGAAGAAATGTGGCACTACCATCAACAACTACGCGGTAAGTTTTTCTTGCCTTCCTTAACGGGACACGCTAAAAGTTATTTCACATCATGACTATAAGTTGAGGTTATTTTTCACTGAATTCATTTCATATGTTAACTTAGGAGACGAGTGATATTTGATTCGCGAGTATGTGGAAACTTAGGACAATTATTTTTAGTTTCTGTGAAAATACGTGTCGAAATTTCAAACTAGCCAGAAAGTTTCTGTGATCTGTTAATCCCCTTTTCTGATGTCAATGAGACATATGATTACTTATGAATTTGTGTCGCATATCGAATGCTGCGTAAAGTTTTTCCACAATTCTGAGCATTCTTTCACTTCTATCCACTACAACTGAAGCAGCACCTCATGCCATGAACGCTATTATTGATATATTGAACTACTGCACACAGATCCTGCCGAAGGCCTACTGCATCGTCCAGGAAGTTTGATGACCTGCACAATCTGGTCCTCATTCCTTCATCTGATTGGCGGCTTTGAATTGTTTACAACAGGAGCACAATAATACCACATTCTCCAGCAATGCGTCCACGTGCAGTAAAAATTGTCTAATCGGAAATTCATTGTAATTTGTGAAACAATAGATTTATTGTTTATATTTAATATTTAATAATATTTTAGTATTTAATAATATTTAATAGGCAGGGTGGCCCAGTGGTTACAGTTCAGAGTACCAAGGTTGGAGCAGAGAGGCGCGGGTTCGATCCCAGCTCTGTGCGCCAGTTTCTGGTCAGAATCGGCAGGGAGGCCGTGCGGTTAAGCACAGCAGAATTGTTGCTTTATTATTATTATTATTATTATTATTATTATTATTATTATTATTATTATTATTATTATTATTATAAAATTCTACTGAAGTGAAACATTTCGCTTTGTACTAATATATTTTGTGCCAAGAAATTTGTATTTGATGCACTTGAATTTATTTGAATTCGAAAAGTTCAAAGTAATGTGGCTTGAGTAAAAGTTCAAATAAATAAGCGTGTAACCAATCATTATAAACTTATATATAATCAGAAAAAAAAACATTTTTAGCGTTCCTATCACTTCAAAATTAGTGACTTGATGTCCTTCGAACCTCTGCACTTGTTTTGTTTTTCATCCGGCAGGTTCAAAACGTTTCTTAACATTTCAACAATGGAATTTACAAAACATTTTGTGCATGCATGTTGTTTTGATTGACCCTTTTGTTGTTTACAACACATTATGTGCATGCCTGCTGTTTTAATTGGCCAATTTGTTGTGGATAAAATGTAGGGTTGTCTGTTGTCCAAATCTCTCCATGTTGAACGCGCATTCAAATCATGAGATAATTAAAAAATTTATCAAGTAAATTACGCATAAGAAAAATAAACACAAAAGACCCAATTAATTAAAAAAAACAATCGCTACATTTAAAAGGCTGAGATACGATGCGCTTAGTTTCGAGAGACACATCGCTGTCAGTAACATGAAGTAAGTTTCACGAACATGCATTTGGGGACAGAGAAATATTAGAGGGACGTCGTGAAGGCCTATAAGGATGAAATGATAACTGAAATGGGGGATCGAGAGTGGTTAATTGAATAGAAGCCGTATTTGTACGTCGAATCCCATTTGTTTCTACAAGAAAACATGAAACACACAGCATTCATTGTCAATTAGAGTAATTTTTAATCGATAAATGGAATAGTTTTGATCAAGACGATCGTTACTGGAAAATGCTCAAATGCTATTAACATCAATGCGATCATCCTGAGCGAAGGACATGACTATTCTTGCGTTTTGATAGAAATCGAGAGTCATCGTTTTATTTCAGAAAAAATATTTCCTAAAATTCTTGAAAAGTTTCCCGATGTTTGTTACATCTCTTTGAATCAACCCGATTTATGTTTAAGATCATCTACCCCACACTCCTGGATAAAAAACGACTCAGCGACTGTACCGCACTCATCATTCAAGCAAATCATATGAACGATTGATGATGATCTGGTATTTTTTAAAATCGCGGCTCCGAAATACAAATAGCGTTATCAGAAAATAAGTTAATTTCGAAGGTTTTTAGCCTTGTCATGATTAGGTCTTGTAAAATTTATGGATGATTTGTAGATTTGGTTTCATTTGTTATAACTTTACTATTAGAATAGAATAGAATAGAAGTGTCGGCGTTGAAGAAATAGGCCCATGGCCTGTTGCCGATTCTTGAACTTTTCGTGACTTGATTCACAAGGGATCCGGCCTTTGGAACCCGATCTTTCCATAGCTGACGATTGATTGATAATAAGCGGCTGTAAAAGGTGTCAGGGTAGAGGAGGTAGCTTGGCCACAGAAACAAGGGCTCTATTGTTCTACGCTGGCGGGGCAGTGCTGCACGTTGCCCTCGCCTGGCCTGTTTGCGTCCCTCGCTGACTCTTGATCGCGTTATTTCAGATGGAAACACTTTTACTATAGGCTTTTTTTCTATTTGCACTCTATTTTACTGACTTCACTGAAAATTCAGTCATTCACTGACACGGGTCATAAAAAAATGCAAAAAGAGTTCCGAAAACGGCACAGTTAAAGTTAAAAGTTGAAAATCTGGGACCGCAAAACACAAGCGTCCGCTCTCGACCACGGCTGAAACTATTCATTGATCGGTAATCGTTTTAACTTGGTCAGGTTGCGTCCATAGCCTCTCAGGCTTTCCTCGGATTATTCGCGTATAGAAGTTCTCGTATGAAATACAGTTTACGGCAAAAATCGTACAGAGATAGTGTTGCAAGGAAACACTGGTAAATTTAGTGTTCTACTGGGAAATTCCAGTTCACATCTTACATTAACAAAAATATCTAATACAGGAAAAAGAAACCGAGCACCATCTCCTACTTTTACCAGAAAAATTGACCCAGTGCAGTTCCGTTGAGTAGTGCGACGGGGTATTTTAAAAATCTATCTCCTCCTAGAGTTTTGAGCTACAGCAATGAGACATATACCATTCGATTCATAAAGACCATATCTATCGAGTTATCGAGCCTTTTTTTTATTTTTGCCTTAGTTTTTTACACGCATTTTTCCGTTTTCTTCTTATTTTTTTCTCATTTTCTTCAAATTTCCCCCCCCCTCCCCCCATTTTGAATCCAAACTATGCACAAATCCAAAAAAAACTCGTTAACTCGATAGGTATAGTCTTTACGACACGAATGGTATATGTCTCATCGCTGTAGCTTCAAAACTCTAGGAGGAGATAGGTTTGCCGTAAAAATAAGTGTGAATGTTCAGCAGAGCGCGACAAAGTCCCGCGCGCATTGCAATAGGCACTCAATGTAGCAAGGATACGAAACTAAACGTTACTGGAGCTTTATTCCACTCAAGGATGGTGGGAGCGACTGCATGCACACCTCCTCATACGACGCCAGGCGGGTTACTGAGCTCTACCTCAAGTAGACACTGTATTTAAAGTGCTGGGGAGCGAATTACCTACTATCTTATTTGTTAAAGAAACTCCCCCACCCCCTCCCCTTTCATGATCTGTCGTGAACGCATAAATCAACGTACAGAGATGGTAATGGTACCGTTGGATAGGGCAGAATGTCAGCTTCAAGAGAACGGGTAACTGAGCTGCACCTGAAGCAGACACTGTATTTAAAGTGCTGGGCATTGAATTACCTCCTATCTTATTTGTTAAAGAACTCCCCCACCCTCCCCCCCCTTTCATGATCTGTCGTGAACGCATAAATCAACGTACAGATATAGTACCGTTGGATAGGGCAGAATGTCAGCTTTAAGATGCGACTAAAAACCGGAAAAGCCAAATCCGAAAACTTTAGGGTATACCCCCCCCTTAATATTGGACGCAGTTATTATAGTGAAGTATTAGTCTGTTATATCTTGTAGATGCAATTCTTAGAATGGAGTATTCGTTTGTTGAATAGTGACGTCTTCATGCAGTCCTAATAAAATGACGTCTTCCCTGCAGTGTTTTTTCTTAACCAATACGCTTTTCATTATATTTGTTGTTCCAATTCACCATACTGCAGAAAAGCGCCGGTTGGAAGTTTACTGAGGCTTCCTTCATTGAGCGCTCATGTTTACGCGTTAATAGTAGGTTAATTACGCGCTGATAGTAGCTTTAATTCAGCGTTAATAGTAGCATTAAATAAACGCTAATAGTAGCTTGAAATAAGCGCTAATAGTAGCTTGAAATAAGTGGTAATAGTAGCTTGAAATAAGCGCTAATAGTAGCTTGAAATAAGCGCTAATAGTAGCTTGAAAAACGCATTCCGGCTGGCTGAGTGGCGTTTTACGCGCCTGTGCCAACTTATTTTGGGACAAGCCGGGATAGACACTTTGGTGAGTAGTTTTAACGCAGCGATTTGTTTCAGTGTAGGGGCACCTCGTAGTACACAACATGAACGTGGCTGCTTGCATAATTTAGAAGTTGTGGCCCGAACCTTTATGCTCATCTCACTTATGTGTATCGACAAAAATAAAATATTGTTATAAAAGGAAAAAATATTGTGCGTTATTACCATTGGCTCTATTTACGACGCGCTCCTCTGATGAGCTTTCTCAAAATTTAACATCGAAGTTTATCAATTAGATGCCTTAATTGACAGTGTAAAAACTACAATGCCGTTATTAAATGCGGATTGCAATTAAAATGCTTTGACATGACCGGACTTCGCACTAGTGCCTATCGTAAGGTGAGTGTAAAGTGATAGTCAGAAATTGTCTTTAGGTCTCAAGTATTAATTACGTCAACACCAGGAGCGGATGTTGTCCGTATCTGAAAAGCAGGATGGACTTTCAGACAGGGTCACCAACCTGTGCTAGTGCGCGAAGACGCTGTGCTTTGTACGCTACAACTTGGTTCTCTACGGCGAAGATTGATTGAATTCTTTTGTTAAGATCAAAATTTGCCATCATAGATAACAGTGACTTTTCTTCAGCTGCTTTCTGTGCTGATTGCTGCCAGTAATAAAAAAAAAAAACAATCAAACCGTGCACTTAAACATTTGGAATTCTACTCGTTTTCGACCGTGCCAACAGAAAATATTAATTTACTGCACAAATTTTATGAAAGTAAGACAATTTAGAATGTGTGATATTCATATGGACACTTGTTTTGGGAGCCGATCACAATTGAAATGGTCTTCGTTTGAGACGGATAATCCTGAAAAGGGCTTCAAAATTTTTATCCATACTGAGTGAACCGTGACACATTATGGAAAATTTGAAATTTTTCACAGAGCTGGTTTACCTGATTTAATGAGAATGAAAACCACTTTTTCTACGGCCAATTAAAATTTTCCATGAACATTTTTTATTATATTTCTCTCGGAGGTCGGGTTTTTGCAAGTGAAAGAAAGCGTAACCCACTATAACTTAAAGTCCTTGATATTAACTTCTCTTCAATCATATCTAATGTTAAATGCTACAGTGCCGCACAAATTATCACCAAGTTGAGAAGTATATCAAGCTATCGAATCAAGTTGTGCAATCCTAAAAAATATCATTAAAAAATATATTATTTCATTTGAAATGAAATTTCCTGCGTCGTGACCTTTTAATGTGTCTTATTAGTTCAAAACTATGTGCTATATAATATATGTTCATCAGAAATTGTTTAAAAAATCACCACATTTTCCAATGAAATATTATAGAGACTAGCCTTTGATATTTAAGCTCAAAAAATTAATCAATTAGAAGGAATAATTCTAAAGGGTCTAAATTAAAATCCAAATTTCCATATAGAAGGCTTATTAACGAAAATATGTCAGTGAATGACATTTAACTACGACATTCAAACATCATCTTGAAAAATTTGTATTCTTAAATTATTGTTTTTGGCATGTCCAAGTTTGCAAGTGCGCAAAAATAATTTTCACCCTCTATAACTCGATCAGGATCAACCTCAGTGTTTTGCTTTGACGTGAATTTCTTGATTTGAAACAACACAGCTACGTCCGGTTGCCGAAAATTCGTGTTGATTTAGCCATGTCGATAGCATTAAAAGCTAGAGCCGAGAGCATTCATGTAAATATAGAGTTGTCGAGAGCATTTATTGGACCTTGATCGAAGTCCTTTCATGAATGTATGGTGTTGGAGCATTCAACAGCTTACTATATATTTCATAGGTCCCTATACGTTAGTAATTTCGGCAATCTGATGGTTCGCAACGTAATTATCGTAAAAGCTTCACATGAGATTTTTCTCCTCTCCGGCAACCATTGTCGAGGCCACCGCGTCCATCTAAATATCCGCAATTAAATTCCGTGTGCACAAATTGCGATCAATCTAGCGATCGAAACAACGTCGATCCTTGCATTGCCGAGAAAGCAAATACTGAAGAAAAGTATATCTTTATGTGCCCGTCAGTATCCGTCTTGTCTTTTAAACCTGGCATTTCATGCAAGACTGACGGTAAGTTTGAACGTGAGGACGGGGCTTTACCCCGACTCTCTACTCAAACAAACATTTCCTGACTTACTAAACATCATTAGCTACAAAAGGGGACAAGTGGGGGGCTTGAGTCGATCATTGGCTGCAGTAAGGTGGAGAGTCGGGGGTTTTCCTTCAAGAAGACTAGACGAAGCTATGCAGGAGCATCTGTTCAGTCTTAAAATGCTTAGCAAATTACGGACCAGGCAATAAGTCCAGCAGCTATCTCAATCAATCGTCAGTTATAATAATAATAATAATAATAATAATAGCGGTTTCAGCGTTATTAGGCCGTAGGCCTGTCGCCGATTCTTAACATCGCAGCACATTCACGGCATTTTGCGGTCTCGAACTCGCAACTCACTGCTACAATTCTGCTATGCCTGCTTAACCGCCCGGCCTCCTTGCCGATTCTGACCAGAAACTAGCGCGCAGAGCTGGGATCGAACCCGCGCCTCTCTGCGCCAATCTTGGTACTCTGTACTTTAACCACTGGGCCACCCTGCCCAGGGTGGAAAGATCCACTGTTATGGAAAGATCGGGTTCCAAAGGCCGGATCCCTTGTGAATCAAGTCACAAAAAATTCAAAAATCGGCAACAGGCCATGGGCCTATTTCTTTAGTGCCGACACTTGTATTCTATTCTATTCTAAGAGTAAAGGAAGAGGCATGCTGAGGTGTAGCCTCCATGATAACTATACTGCCTTAAACAGTGGCTGCTGACATACGGCGCAATGGGTTTAAGCAGTTGGGCATCAGGTGTGGCTTGCGATGTTACTAGCAACCTTTAGTGTGTTTGGCACGCGAGTCACTATATTAAGGTTCAACTTTAATATCTGGTACTTCCAGCTTAAGGGTTTTTGAATTTTCTTCAATTTTAAACTAGCATTTTACTTCAATAACGCCCATAGTTCTCATCAGTCTGAAATTTTTATTATAGTATTTATTCCTCACTTCGTCCTTTAATAATCAAGTTACTTTGAATGCTTAGCTCACAAAAAAGTGGCATGAACCGATTCTACTTGAATTTATGATGCTTAAAAGATGATATAGCTGGTATCTTATTTTTTCAAAAAACGTGTTAATTTTTGGTCATTTTACTTGATATTTTCCTCTATTTATTTAGGCATTCAATTGACCGGAATATTTCTGAGGGATTGCCTCTCTACCTGAAAAAGCGGTCTGCATCAATAATATTTCGGTTTAATCAATACTCTAGACAAAAGCTTGACCACACCATCTGTTTATCATACGGTGAATTTTCTCACCTCGGAGACGGAGTTGAATGTTAAATTTTTGACGAGTGACGAGAGCAAAATTCTCAAAGTCAAACCTTGATCATAAATGATCAGGTTAATGATACTAAAATACGTATTAGTTGTTATATTTAATTCTGTCATGTGCTGAGAAAATGTTCTACTAAGAATAATACAATAAATACGTAAGGAAAACGATAAAAAAAATATCGATACAAATAAAAACCGGCTTCTGAAGTCATACAACAATAAATTTCAATTTTTTTCCTCCATTTGAGAATGATAGTTTAAATTATGCAAAATTAGCAATTTTGCTTATCTACAGAATTTTCGTCTTGTTATTGATACGATTCAGCGACTTTTGCATCATGGTCCTCTAATACGACTCGCTATACATCAGATTATTTTGTTATATGTCATCTGGTTGAGCGAGACAACACGAGCACAATATATCTAAATCCTAATCCCAACCACCTCCTAATCTAATAAATAAATGTTCAAATATTATTTTCAGAGATTTCACATTTTAAAATGTTTTCTTGCTTACTGCTACTGATATTTATTACAAATGTGGGAGATTGCTTGCTCGTCCAAAATTTCAAGGAAGATCGACGGAATGAAATTAGCGGAGTCATCCGGAGAGATCGGAGTCATATCCGATCTCAAGCGACCCTACAAAAGACTTGGGGAGAAAATTTGCTGGCGCATGCGGACTCCCGCATCGCCCATCGTCAAGATCCAGACTTTACAAAGCCACCCGCGACGCAGACATCGCACCGCGATACCGGCTCAGCGCCAGTGGCCGACGAGCACTCGTTTTTAGGAGAGGAACTGAATCTTCAACTCAGACGAGGCCGCGGAGCCGCTCACCACCTTACGCTAGAGCAAGAAGTATCGGACTTGAAAATTAAGAAGGAGCCACTTATTGCATCAACTGCTGCTCTATCGAATGAAGGCTATACTAGACATCGTGAGAAGAGGCAAGCAGAACTCTGCCTGCCTCCGCACATACATGCATATTTTACAGGAGCTATAAACCGCCTAGAAAAACTACCCATTAATTTAAATTTCTTTGCAAAAAGACTGCCTTTTACAATAAAAGTTAAAGCCTTATTTTACGGTGCCAACTTAGTGTCGGATTTTGACAAAGAATATTCGATTTCTTCAACCGAAATAAAAGTCCAACGGTCAAACATATGGCTTCGATGTCAATTGCAATTTTCGCATACTAAACATTTTCTAATAGTTTTTTATTTTTCCCATACTATAAGTATTAAGTGTCCAACAGCTGAAACAAATAAAACTTGGGACTGGAATTTTAAGCATAACTTAAAAGAGCTACAAATTTCCCTCATTGGTAACGTTCATTGGTACGAAGGCCAACAGGTTGATGACTGTCAGCTAAATGGAACGACTCAAGTCCCGACCACAACCACAGGCTCCCAAGTCCCGGTATCGAGCGTAACCAGTACAACGGCTGTTACAACCTCAACAACCGAGTCGACTACAGAAACTGAAGTTGTTTACAGTACTGATGCTGGTAAATATCAAGACTATTTGTCAATGGTATCGGGATTTATTATTCCGTGTTGTAAAATGTACAATCATCTACTTAGGGATCTGTTCTACTGTAATGGTAGTCACTTGAAATTAGGTACAGTAAAGTTATTAATAATAGTATTAATCGATATAATGATAATTCAATCTTCAAATTTCTTGGGAATATATTCAATATTTATTAAGTTTATGAAAGATCAGTTTTAGATTCTCTCGTGTGATGAATAAAAGAACAAATTATAGTGGTTCAGGTTAATATGAGTTTAGTAAAAATAATTGAATAGATTTTACCGTGACAATTTTTTTGTTTGCTAAGTGGAACATAATTTATTTGGATTAAAGGTTTTGAGATTCGCAAAACTTGAAGTTCATTCCATTTCTTTGATTCAAGTTCACGAACATAAAAGAATCGACAAAATTGTTCAATTATATGTACATTGGTGAAAACCGATTTTTACCCTCGTTGATGGGCAATAATTGAATTACGATCTTTCTTTTGGGTAATTGAGTTCTTCCAGGGGATCTTATAGAATTAAATTCTTTGCCCAACCATTTTCGTAGATTTCCGGCGCCATTTAGGGGGTGACGGAAACGCAGTATCTTAAATTTCGTTGCATGTCCTCATTGCTGACTAATTATGTGTGATTCCAGAATGACTCATATTAATATTAATCATTAAAATGTTCAATCACTAATATGCAAGTTGTATCCACACTTCATTCCCTGATATGATTCAATTTTCAGGCACCAACGTAACAGTTGGGATGGACGAGCCTGCGTCCAAGGCAGAGACAATTTCATGGGATCTCAACTGGTTGTGGCTGCTGCTGCTACTCCTGGGTCTGCTAGTCGTGGTCATCGCTATAGCTATGATCAGGAAGAAGAAAAAATGTATGTATGAGACCGAGTACACTTGGTAATATGGCATATATCAGCTGCGTTATATATGAATATTAAATATTGTCGAAATCCTAATGGTCATTGATATAGCTATGATCCGGAAGAAGAATAAACGTATGTATGAGACCGAGTACACTTGGGATTATGGCATATATCAGCTGCGTTATATTCAATATTAAATGTTGTCGAGATCATAATGGACATATTTATGACCAGCTGCGTTATATTTAAATAATAAAATTTGTCGAGATCATAATGAACATATTTATTTCCAGTGAAAGCCACCGTACAGCCGGCAACTGGCATAAACCGTCAATCGAGCGTCAACTCTTTATACGGATGTCATCCTGAAATAACAAGAGGACCAGCCAGCGCTCGAAACAACCAAAAGTTCCAAAACAACAGCTCTAACCGTACTAGTTTAAACAGCCTTTATCAACCCAAAAAGTTCCAAGACAATAGCTCTAGCCGTACTAGTATAAACAGCCTTTATCAACCAGCCGGAGGCAACAGTGTCGCCGCTTCTGTGAACAACGCTGGCAGTGAAAAGCACGTTCCTGGAGCTTGGATCAGCACAGCAAATGGCTCAGCATATTATAATGCGGATTTAGAGTTACAAGATTCCATTTACGAAAATTAGACTCATATTCACAGTAAATTTTCGAGAATCAGAATCATCATTCATAATCGAATTTAATCATCCTTACGGAGAAGTTTTGTCCTGTCTCGAGCTGTCTTCAATTGTCAAATCTTAAATGTTTAATTAAGTAAACGAAAGTATTGACTCCTAAAAATATGAGTAAAACTTAAAATTTTTGTTAAGCGTTAGTGTTAATTTTAAAGATAAACTCAAAATTAAGTCATATACATTTTTTTGTACCTCTTAATAAAAATTACTTATGCGAGATGAATTAAAACTCACCTCGTCTCGTAGAAAATTTATTGAAAATTTAGTCAAGAGATATATCTTTGCCATTATATACGTATATCTTTATACCTTTGCTGGTACTTCATTGTTCGCTCATGACGTCACTCGGTCCCAATTCCGTTCGCACACCACATGCGAACGGTTGATGAAGAAGGAATTATCAAAGAAAAATAACATGTGAGCAAAATTCACTTGGCAACCGCTCTTCAATCGCAAATGATGTATATATAATATATAATCTTTCTGCTGGTCGTCTGTTACACACACCTTTGCATTTAGTTGCTTGCCACTCCCACGCAGCAAGTCGCCTGCTACTAACTTATCACATAAACGAGTCGTCTGTCATACCTGCAGCCAGTCGCCTGTCATACCTGCAGCCAGTCGCCTGCCACACCTGCTGCCAGTCGCCTGCAAAATCTGCAGCCAGTCGCCTGTCACACCTGCAGCAAGTCGCCTGTCGCACCTGCAGCAAGTCGCCTGTCGCACCTGCAGCAAGTCGCCTGTCGCACCTGCAGCAAGTCGCCTGTCACACCTGCAGCCAGTCGCCTGTCACACCTGCAGCCAGTCGCCTGTCACACCTGCAGCCAGTCGCCTGTCACACCTGCAGCCAGTCGCCTGTCACATGTGTAGCCAGTCGCCTTTCACACCTGCAGCCAGTCGCCCGTTAAACCTGCAGTCAGTCGCCTGCTAAACCTGCTGCCAGTCGCCTGTTAAACCTGCAGCCAGTCGCCTGTCACAACTCACACCTGCAGCCAGTCGCCTGTCACACCTGCAGCCAGTCGCCTGTCACACCTGCAGCCAGTCGCCTGTCATGCCTGCAGTCAGTCGCCTGTTAAACCTGCAGTCATTCGCCTGCCGTACCTGTATCTACTCACACCACGGCAGTGGGAGCGCAGCCCTGCACCACAAATTTAGCTCGTAAACAAGCCCTGGCGCCAACGCCTACCCTATAATGCAATAACTTAACTCAGCTCACACCCAAGAAGCTGTACGTAACTGAGTCATCTCCCCACACCAACTTTAAGCAACACCTACCTCACTCCACAGCCTGCTGAATCAAATAGTCAATTGTCAACAGGTCCTACTCCACACGGCAGTCATAGCCCCGACATGACTGCCGGCCGCTAAATTCTATTAAGCCTGCAACGCAACTGTTGTGAACGCAACATATGTCTTAGGATACTAGCTTAATTCTGTGGTCTTGCGAATCCTTTTCGTTCATTCGTCATCTGTCGGCTGCAAAGTAAAGACCGAACTAAGATCAGGAACTAATTTTGGTGAGCCTAGTTTTCATGTTTGAACATTTATGTGCTGTTTATAGAAAGCCTTTATAATTACTTTGAATATTTTCGAATATTGGTTAAAAATTCAGTAACCTTTTTAACTCACTATTACTATTAATACAAAATTACTATTTTGCATTTGTACCGGTTTCTTTCCAAACACCGTGACTTCTGGGAACATAAAGCAAAAATTAACCCTGGATGCACGCGTATTGAATTAATCCTGCCATAGACAAAAGTTGCTCTGTAAAGCACTAAATAGCCCACAACACCAACTATTACTCACACGGGAATATTTAGATTATAAGGATTGGGATTAAAATACCAGCATTATCGTTTATATTAATCTCTAACAAGGGACACTGCATTCAATTCAATAGTTTGTGAGTAAGATTACCTTTAACGCTGCACTAACATCGTAAAATTGTACTTATACTCTGAAGGAAGGATATCTTTCAGATTATGCCACGTGAAGCTACAGTTATCGATGCTACGGTGATATCTGTAAACGCTATAATCGTCTGATGCAAGGAAGTCAAGGAATTCGTCGAGTTGGAAGGGTAAATCATGTATATCATTAAGAGGAAGCTAAGAAAAATTGTCCTTCACGAAGACTTTAGTGCATAAAACGATAGTTTTTTTTCTGCTACTCAGGGATTTGGAGCCTTTGGCCAAACACCAGATGTGATGAATGACTGTGATTCATCCTCAATTATTATCCAGACTCCAGCGCTGTGGGCAGTAATGAAATTAGTCGTTGTTCTAAACGAGTGGTTAAAAATACGCACCCCACTATAGACATGGCAAGTGAGGCGTGACTAAGAAATTCACAGATTTTATGTCCAAGTGCAAGTTTTCTTAATAGATCTTTATAGCTAGGGTACCTGGAAATGATAATTGGAAGCAGATCACAGCTGTGTCAGGAAAGCAGAACACAGCTGTGGGAAGTTAGACCGTAGATTTATTAGTCTCGCTGCATTCACGAAGTAAGGAGAGCGATGTTTGTGTTCATAGCTCCAATACGATGATTTTCATTCGTTCAAGTAGATACATGTGAATTACTGTCAAGTGTTAATACAATGTGAATTGTGGGGCTTGCCGTCATCACGACGGTGAAGCTAGGCCGAATAATTTGAAGTTGAGAGCGAGTTAGCAGACATGCTTCGAATTTGTATGCTGGGCGGGACTGCTCAACTTTTCACGTCTTGAGTTTAGACTTTAGCTCAAGGAAAGTTTCTACCTTCACTCTCACCCTGTCTTCCATCATCAGGATAATTATTTTCGATGTGATCTCGAAAATCATTAGCATCAAATGATACTGAGGAGAAGTGAATTGTTCTGTGTATCAATCGCGTTGCCATCAAGGCCAGCCAGGTTCACTCAATACTGCCAGGCACTTGCCAGGCACTATCCAACATTCTTCAATGCATTTCTTTCGAAGCATTCACACCAGCCATGCAAGGCCCCTACCATGTCCACGGTGTGAATGCTTCAATGGAAATGCATTAAATAATATTGGACTGAACCGTGACTTGCACGTGTCCGGTGGTAGTATGGTGAGAACCCGGCCTAAAGTTTCTGCGCGTTGTTGCTGGATACGTGCTGGTTTGTGGACTTGTGATTGATCATTTTCTCTGCAATGACTTTTCTGTCGCGTCTAAGAGGAACGCTGGCATCGAGGGAACACGAGATTTGACCACAATCTCTTCCTCGCGCCACATGGACATCGATTTCGACAAGAGGCTGGTTTAGACTACGCGCAAGATACCGTCAGCTGGCACGTCCAAGTCAGGATAAGATTCCAGGTTGAAAACAGTCCGCAGATTGGTAGAGGGTATAATGAACAGCTTGCTGCACGCTGGGCAGCGGAATAATGAACAGCTTGCAGTTTACTTGCCAGCGGCCCACGGACAGCACCACAATGCAGCAGAGCCGCTAGTACACACCATCGTAATTTAAGACTGATTTGCCATTCCATCAGACTGAACTTGGTGGTCTCGCTCACCTATTAAACCTATATATAAATATAGTTTTACCTATACATATAAAGTTCTCGCTCAATGAAAATTCATCAGTCAAAAGTTATGTATCAACCACAAGGGGCGGAAAGACTATGACCAGAGCGCTGAGAATTGCGACACGAAGAATGAACAGCTACTAGAAGGAAGACACTCGTACGTGAGGCCGCTCACACTGCCACCTCTCACAGGGTAGCCAAGAGCAAAGAATACTACCAACGTAACGACTGACGCCCGCATCTGAGACCTGCAGTTATTTTCCCGTAGCCAAAAAGAACTTATAATTTCAGGAGCTCCGTAAAACTTGGAAGCTCTAAAGGACATTCAGCACATATTGACTACCAAATCAGTCTTCATAATCAAGGCGATCTACGAAACGAGTTTGCATCGGAAAATAAAACACAATTGTGAAATACTTAAATATTTTGATACAGCGAATTCCAGCAAAATTTCGTCTCCACTTTACACAAAATTGTTGCTGAATTAGAAAACTAGACTTCTTCAATGTCAAGTTTAATATTATTTCCATCTTATCATAAAAAGAATTACGATTGCTGAAGCTATAAAATATTAGCAGTGACATGCATCTCGTCAAACTCGTCATGCTCCACGATACCTTCCTCCAAGTCTGACTGATCATCAGCCATGAGCTCTTCGACCACCTCGTACTCCTCCTCCTCTGCCTCCTGAAGCTTCCTCTTCCTTGCGCCGCTACCTATTGACTGTATCGCCACCATTCTATATGTTTCATTGAAATTCCTCAGCTGTTCTATTATCTTTGAATGATAATCACGCATTTCTTCGCGCATTTCGCGTTGTATTTGCAAGCTTTCCTCGAGCATGGCGGTGGTGCGGCGCATGAAGCTCTGCATGGACGAGCCCAGGGACGACGGTCCAGCGGTGCCGCTGTGTCGAGGTGACGAATGCTCCCCGTTCTCGTCTGGTGACGCGCCCTGAGAACATGGTCGTCAATAGGGTACTTAGATTATCGCTTATAATATGGTTGTCATTAGGGTACTTAGATTATCGCTTAGAACACGGTTGTCAATTGGGTACCTAGATTATCGCTTAGAACATGGTTGTCAATAGGCCTGAATAGGGTACTTAGATTATCACTTAGAACATGCTTGTCAATAGGGTACTTAGATTATCGCTTAGAACACGGTTGTCAATTGGGTACCTAGATTATCGCTTAGAACATGGTTGTCAATAGGCCTGAATAGGGTACTTAGATTATCACTTAGAACATGCTTGTCAATAGGGTACTTAGATTATCGCTTAGAACATGGTTGTCAATACGGTACTTAGATTATCGCTTAATTGCATTCTTCCTACTGAATATTTAGACAATTCACGAGAATAACTTACAACAAATTCAACGAATTTAAACAGAATCATCCAGAATGAAAGCAAGCACGATGTCAAGGCAACTTAGTACGTATATTTAAATTAAAATGTTTTGACAGGTAATGTAAAATCATCTCAGAAATCATTGTATCTTAGAATATTGCTTGTAAAACTTTGTCCACGCAAATGTACGTTGATGGCGCAGTTGAGAACGTACTTAATATATCTACATGCGTTAGTAATACAGGATGATTCGCGAAAACTTCCTGTTTTGAATGTTCAATAAAAAAGAGCTAGTAGATATATCATAACAATGTACATTATTGGAAAAATACATTACCTCAATTTTTGTATCACTCACTTTTAAAGATTACATAGGATAAATGACGGCCCCCACTGTCAATGCATTCATTTAATCCATATTTGAAGTTCCGATCTGAATGTGTTGATAATATATCTGAATATGCTCAATATATCTGAATGTGTAGATAATATATTTATATGGATCGATGGTAAATTTGAAATGCAATGATGATAAATACGAATGCGTTGATAATTTATATGAATACGTTGATAATGAATGTGAATGTATTGACAATATATTTGAAATGGTTGTTATGATAACTAATTGCATTGATAATATATCTAAATGTGTTGATAATATGTACGTATATCGAAATGCGTTGACAATATATCTAAATGAATTGACAATATATCTAAACGCGTTTTGCTAGAATATTCAAATGCGTTTCAAGGATGCCTACATAAATGTGTTCCTAGAATATTCAAATGCGTTTCAAGGATGCCTACATAAATGTGTTCCTAGATTATTCAAATGATGTTGATATGATACGTAGATGTGCGCAAGAATCTCTATCACATAACGGCTCAATTCTCCCCAGATTAATCAGCTGATCCAGCATCGATGATGGAATTAGAATTTAATGGAAGTAAGACAATCAAGGTTTTCATATTATCAGTCTGCTTATATCGCAAGTTCACAAGGAATTTAAAAGCAAAGAAAACACCAAGCAAATTCACCGTAGCGATATTGAAAAAGCTTTCAATATCGATATGGTGAATTTGCTTGGTGTTTTCTTTGCTTTTAAATTCCTTGTAATGACGGTTTTGAGGTATTATTGCTTTGAAGTTACTGAATTATTAGTAACACAATATCGGCTTAATGGCAGTCAGGATATGTTCACCACAATATACGAGTATTTGATAAATAAATTCATAATTTTCCACATAAAGATGTTCTGTGTTGCAGAGAACTGCATTGCACTCACGTGGTATTGCCGGATCTCTCGCCAGAAGACCGTCCTGATGAAGTCGTAGTAGAAAGGCTTGTCAACAAAAAGCTGTCCACGCGCAGCCTGCCGCTCGTACTTCCGCACTGCAGCGATCATCCTCTTCACCTTCACCTTCACTTGGTACATCGTCAACGGATTTGACTCGCACTGCAATTAGATTGGACTTTTACTCACTGGCTCCATCAGGGATCAAAGAAGAATTACTTACAACCTTAATGATGAACCTGCGTTAATAAGCCTCAAGATACTCGTATGCCTCTATTTAGAAAATGTATCAACACCTTCGAATGCTTTCGTTAAGAAAATGTACTCAGAAAGATTAAGAAAACAGAACGTCAAGAAAATATACTCAGACTTTCAAAAGCTTCCATTAAGAAAATTGGAGGGTAGGTATGTGTTAAGATAACCTTACAACTACAGAATTGGAACAAAAATATGAGAAAGAAAAATATATAATTACAAGTCCATATTAATAAAAATCATTTGCCATGTTTTAAGCAACGATAAGCGCGAATTCTAGTTGACGTCGGGGAAAATCTAAATAAAGATAACATTCCAACTCCAGAATTGGAACAAAAATATGAAAAAGAAAAATATATAATTTCAAGTCCATATTAAATGAAGTTCATTCGCTATATTTGAATCAGCAATAAACGCAAATTCTAGTTGACGTCATGGAAAATCTAAATCAATTGTTGAAAATTTATCCAACAAGATCGTGTATTAGGTCTCTTAAACCTAAAGCACGTTAAGAAACTAATTTAAAAAGGCACATTAAGAAACTAATTAAAAAAAGCACGTTAAGAAACTAATTAAAAAAAACACGTTAAGAAACTAATTAAAAAAGCACGTTAAGAAACTTAAAAGCACGTCAAGAAACTAATACATTATTAATAAAGAGTGACGAGTTTGTTGGCTCTATTAGTCACTTAAAAGCACGTCAAGAAACTAATACATTATTAATAAAGAGTGACAAGTTTCTTGGCTCTATTAGTCACTTAAAAGCACGTCAAGAAACTAATACATTATTAATAAAGAGTGACGAGTTAGTTGGCTCTATTAGTCACTTAAAAGCACGTTAGGAAACTAATACATTATAAATAAAGAGTGACGAGTTTCTTGGCTGAGCACAATCCCAGATCGACCTCCCCTGCAATACTACCAGCGGCGAGAAGCAAGCAACAGCATCGTGCATCAGGTGGCCCAAATGAGGGCGGATGAACGATAATCAGAGGCGGCGATCCATCGTGGCCTGGGACTGCTATGTCCCAAACAAATACTAAGGATACTAAGGATTAGGCTCTATTATTGACTGACGTGTTGACTGACGTGTATGTTGACGGCGCTTGTGATAAGCTTCCAAGCCTTGACTTTCTCAGCGCGGCTCCTGAGCATGTCGAGACACTCCTCCATGGCGTGCATGAGCGTCCTCGTCAGTGCCGGCGTCCATACGTCGTCCCTGCTCGCCACTGCACAAACAAGCTCATTAATTACTTACGTACAGGTTCAAATTAAAATAGTTTGTCAGGCATATTACAGAATACAGAGCAACAAAACAAGTCCATTAACTACTTACGTACAGGTTCAAATTAAACTAGCTTGTCAGGCATATTACAGAGCAACAAAACAAGCTCATTAATTACTTGTGTACAGGTTCAAATTAGGTTGTCAGGCATATTACAGAGCAACATTCTGAATTTAGTGAAATCAGTGCATTCGTAACGGAATAACGGGGACTTAACTTCCGTTCTTTCCTTCAAACATATGACTTCTTCTGAATTGTTACACTAGTACCTATGTTAGACAATGAGAAAATAATAATTTTGACGATCCTGAAAATAAAATTTCAAGATGATAGAAAACATAAAAATCAGTCAACATTATTCCTATTTGAGTTGCCGACTTGCATAGAAGCAAAAACTCTAGTTGGTTAACTCTCGTACCAAAATGCGACTATAATTGAACTACCTCATAACTCCAGCCAAACCTGCGCCTGACAATGGTTTCCAACAGGATCAGCCGGAAACGCCTGCCAAAACTGCGCCTGACAATAGTTGTGACTTTAATTGTACTAATTCATAACTCCAACCAAACCTGCGAGGCTGCGCCTAACAATAGTTTCCAACAGCATCAGCTAGAAACGCCTGCCAAGACTGTATCTGACAATAATTTCCAACAGCATCAGCTAGAAACGCCTGCCAAGGCACTGTACAAATCAAGAAGGGTTACCATGCTCATTTGTCGTGATGGTGGAGGGGCCGGCGCCAGAAGACGTGGTCATTGTGTAGTGGCGGTTCTCCAGAGTTGTGGCATCAAAGAATTCAGGCAACTCAACCGTGATGTGATTGGGTGAACCTCCGTCCAAGTCATCATTTTGCTGTGTAACCTTGTAACTCTGAAACAAATCCAAAGAAATAACACATCAACTTCAGTTTTTTCCAATCGGTACAAGAGACTTTTCTAATTTGAGCACAGAACTTTAGAGGTATACATGTATTTCAAACGTATGTTGCTCACTTGTCCAATGCATACTGGCAATTATTTCATTACGTTATTTTTTCTTATTACATTATTCGATAACTCCAAGTCTGGCTGATGATCAGTCAGACTTGGAGGAAGGTATTGTGGAGCATGAACTAGATTAGCAAAATTGAATTAAACCAATTCTGTTTGTCATGCCACCAATTCTGTTTGCCAAGTGAATTTAATATAGTGCTAGGTATATTTGGCTAAAATTATCGCGCAATACATCTCAGAATAAATGAAAATATTTCAACACAATAGTAAATGCTCACACTGATGTACTCCTCGCCTCGTATGGCGCCTGCAGCATTGTTCTCGGTGCCAAAAACCTTGCAGAGCATATCGTAGTAGCGTGGCTTCTTCTTGTAATCTCCTACAGACACGCTCTCCCAGTATCGCCTCAGGGTGTTCTGCAAGTTGATCATGCGTCCATACACTTGCATTGGCAGTAAATTCAGTCCTGGGATCTGTAAAACGAATCACAAAAAGTGTAAGAAAGTCAGTCTTCATGCAAATATTTTCATGAGGATGATCAAGTATGGTTGGAAAATAAACTTTTCCAAGTTTTCCATCAGTTTCTTTCATAGAATACAATTTTGACACCTGTAATATTGTTTATTATTGACAACTATCCAACTGCAAATTGCCAACTATCAACCCATACAAATTGCCAATATCAACCCATTTCATAAATATCAACCCAGTTATGAAATAAAATGATTAAATACACCATAATATAGATTAATGATGGCAGAGGTGAATGAAAGAATCCTACAATACTAGAGGATGTAATTCAGAGGAAAAAAGTGATTCTGAAAGCAAGGTATATATTCTCAGATCAAATCAACAGCAATGTTAAACAAACAAAATTATAGTAAAGAGAGCTCATTACAAATCTGATGCAATAATAAGGGTAACAAATGCTAAGTTATTAATCAAATGAATAAGAAGGTGACAAATTATCTGTAGAAAATGAATGTTAAGAGAAAATTTAAGAATAGTTTCCAAGGAAAGAATAATTTATGATTAGACATCAGAATTCTATTATTACAAACAGCTTCATTGAAGCCCACATTGCAGAAGCATTGAACAACTGCTGATGATCTTTTCAAGAAATGTTTTGCTCTGGTCACCTTAGCATTGATGGTGTCAGCAATTTCTGACACTACATTAAACAACTGCTGATGATCTCTTCAAGAAATGGTTTGCTCTGGTCACCTTAGCATTGATGGTGTCAGCAATTTCTGACACTACAGTCTGGGGCTTCTCAATGTGGTCTCTGATCTTGTAGTAATGCAGGCCCAGCTGCTCCAGCAGCACCTGCATTACAGGCTCTGTAAAAATGCGCTCACGGTGGCCACCATGACGAGCGCGAGAAACTTCTGCAATGAAGAGAAGTTAAACTCAGTAATAAAGAGTAAATAAAATGACTAAAATTAATTCACCATGGTCAGTCAAAAGATAGTGAAGTGTAGGTTTGTCAAGTGTGTGTTTGATATACACAGCATCAATGTGATGTGGTGGTCAAGACATGCAAGCAGTTTAATGGATAAACAACACTTAGGCAGCTTGTCATCACTTTTTATTCATTTTATTACTTAATAGCAAGCGTATCAAGGACCAGATTTCTAGACTTGGCTGGAAAGCTTCACAAGCTGAGGATCTTGGTACCATCTAGCATGCAGATGAGGCCAGCAATGAATGCTATGCATATAAATATTTTACAAAACTTACGTATTACAGGTTTTGTATCTTCCATTATGATCTCTATGACCATCCGTTGAAAGATGGACTCTTATTCTCAAGTTCACCAAAGCTTCCTGAAATGGAAAGAAGTGTAATGTCACAAAAAGCTACAACTTTTGAGGCTTTTTTAAAGAATATTCACATTATTTAAATACCCGAGTCTCACCTTGAACAATTGAAGACTACTAAGAAAGGCTATCATATAACCTGTATGTATATGAGAGAAAATTTTACTAATTTGCAAGCAGAGAAGAGAGAAGAGAAAATTTTACTAATTTCCTAAACAAGCACTACTTAGAACTGATTTTCTGATGGGAATGTCAGAATAGTAGGTATACAGTATACTTGAACCTTGAATATTGACCACAATTCCACAAGCAAACTACGTACCTATCTTGTTTTGGTTATTACCCAACATTTTTTGGAGCAATAAATCAGGTATATTTAAATATATATATATATATAGATGAAAGGCTAAAAAATTAGGTAACAACTTAAAATTTTTTAAATGACATAATCTAGGACTAACAGCTCAAAAATTTCAATCACAGCCCACAGGTAGGAAATTTCTTTACAGAAACAGAAATCAATGGTGCTAATCCTGGATATTAGGCAGAAGTTTAAAAAAAAATTACAGAAAATAAGATTTTTTACAGGTGATTTTGGCAAATCCAATGCGAAATGTATAATTTTTCCTGTTTTTTTTTATAAATGAGATCAACAGTGTCTTAAAAAGAGAGGAAATTGGATGCTTTCATGTTCATCTCATTCACAATCACAGATGGCCTCTGCCCATTTTTAGCGCATTTTTTCATTTATGGAAAAAATGCACTATTGTGCTCACCATGTCCGTCTGTCTGTCTGTCAATCCGTCTGTCCGTGGCCTCAAGTTTTCGTTGACGAGAAAATGCGCGCTCTGTCACTCACTGCAGTGAGTACTGAGTTATATTTTTCTCATTTGTCTTCATCAATAGAGGCTAGAGCATTAGCATGGTGGAAGGTGGAATGGTGGATGTATGTGATTATTATTGCAATAGAAATAGGATAGGAGTTCATGAACATGAATAATTTATGAATAAATACAAATTTAAAGGTATGAGGGCATGATTTGAAGGAGATTAAATTGGTGACACCAAGTTTTTTATCAACTCCTATGATCTTTGTTTCCAGTAATTCCTCCCATACTGCCATAGTAGCTATATTACAATTAAACTAAATTTGAAGTTTTGAACTAGATTAGCAAATTTTAAATGAACCAATAAAAAAAATTCCTCGTTTGCCATTGCCACTAGCACTAAGCCAATGCCGTGGTAGAAAATTGAACAGAAGCCACTCATGAATTGGAAAAATTCTTATGAATCTTGCCAATTTCATTTTTTTCCAATGACCTTCAAATTTCTTCAGTACCGTAAAATGGGGTTACTTTGACTCCTGGGGTAACTTTGACCACTTTTCATTTTTTAACAAAAACCCCCAAAACTCAAAAACTATTTGACATAGAAAAGTTTAGTCAATGGCCATTAAAGGCCTAATACTGAGGCTATGTAACACAATAGAAAGATTTAAAAAGTTTACATATCTAATAGGTTAAAAAATTTAAAATGTGACCCACAAAAAACGAGCTATTATTTAAAGCCTGTTGGAGTACCCCCTCCAATTTTTTTATTTGTTGGTAAAATAACTCCAGGTTTTGATGCATTGCAGTAAAACTCTTCTAGTTACATATGCAAATGACAAATTTTAGGAAAGTGTCATAGTTTGCAAATGGGGAGCACCACCCCCCAATGGGGGAACTTTGACCACCTAATGGCAGCTGTGATGGGGTAACATTGACCAGCTTGGAAATTAAGTTAGAATTAAGATAGGTACCTATATAACATATTTTATGTTTGATACACCTATTAATGTTTTTTCTTCCAGTTTCGGACTCTACAGAGTCTTATTACTCTTATATATGATAATTTTAACTTAATTTCCAAACCGGTCAATGATACCCCGTCACGGCTGCCATTAGGTGGTCACATTTCGCCCATTGGGGGGCAGTGCCCCCAATTTGCAAACTATGACACTTTCCTAAAATTTGTCATTTGCATATGTAACTAGAAGAGTTCTACTACAATGCACCAAAACCTGGAGTTATTTGAATTTGCAAACTATGACACTTCCCACAAATTTGTCATTTGCATATGTAACTAGAAGAGTTCTACTACAATGCACCAAAACCTGGAGTTATTTGGAGTTATTTTAACAAAAAATAAAATTGATTTTACCACCCAGTCAAAGAAACCCCAAGAGCTTGGGTAACAAAGACCATCACTTTATTTAAAATTACATCAAAACTAGCTATGAGAGGCAGGAGCCAGCAATTTATGGTGAGTGAAGCTAGAGTATAGACCCACTGTACAGTGAGTGGATGAATATTGCAAGATCTTTGGCGATGCTTCAGTAGCAAAATTTACGCCTTCAGAAGATCTTGCCGACACATTTAGATTGAAATTCTTGCATTTAATATATTTGTCAGTCTTTGGCCAACTATTTAAAAAAAATTAAGGTTTCCGATATGTTGGATGGATCAGGATGCAGTGAAGCTTGTCCGGAAATCAGTTGCGATGAGTTCCCGCCAAAAAATGTAAGCATCAAGCTTACAATTACGTAATTGCGGTCACATTACAGCGGTCAGACTGCATTATCACATCATCACATGTTCAGTTGACACTTGCTGATGCTGTACAATTGGACTGTTTTTAGGGTGAAATTAGTTATTTGGGGTAACACGTACAGTGGGGGGAAATAAATATTCGTACACTTGAAAAATTGTATTTTAATGTATGTAAGTACACAAACTTAACAGGAAAAGTGATTTAAATTATGTATAGAGACGCATAGTATTAAAAAATACTATCAAAAGAAATTAAATCTCAATTAATTTAAATCACTTTTCCTGTTAAGTTTGTGTACTTACATACATTAAAATACGATTTTTCAAGTGTACAAATATTTATTTCCCCCCACTGTACATGCAACCTTGTAAGTTTGTGGCTAGTAAATAGTTTTTCATTACTCAGCGTAAATGGCTTTTCATTAAAAATTACCCGGCAACGCATCTTGAAATTACCCAGCGACGCTTAGGGCTTAAAACCCCATATATTGGCTGCTGGCAACGCTGCATCCACCCTCTGCGCCCTGGGAATAGAACTGTATTTTACATGTTTCAATTTAAGTTCAACTTATCTAGTAAAAAATGGCATCACGTTGAAAAAAAAGTGGTCAAAGTTACCCCATTTTACGGTACCTAAATAAATAAAAAACAGCCTTTTTTATCTCAAATTTTTTAGAATCGCCTGTAAACAATGGTTTTTATCCGCAATCTCACAAAAGTTCTGCAACTTGAGCCAACTTCTAGGGTAAACGCGGTATATTCCGACACTTTAAGGACGCATGGAGAAATGAAAAACTATAAAAAAACCGTATGCGTTACGTAAGTTCTGTTGCCTTCACATGACTCTCAAAACACTTCACTACGCGTCAGTAACTGTCAAATTTGACACATTTTTCGATGATCTCACCACGTGGCATGCATTGTCTCTCTTTGGATCTCAATATTTTCCCGCTAGATGGCCAAAACCTAGTGTTTTTGCAGTATTTCCACACGCAAATGTATGACGTCACCATTTCAACCATCAATGAACACATGGAACTAAAACAAAGCTTAATATAAAGGAAAAACTAGAGAAGTGACGGAATTACCTTCGATGTCGGAATATACCGCGTTTACCCTATTCAATATTTTAGGCATAGCAAATCATAATCCACCTACCTATTGCTATCACTAATTACTATCAAGGAATTTAAAAGCAAAGAAAACGCCAAGAAAATTCACCATATTGATATTGAAAACGTTTCGGAGTCCAGCTTGGCGTTTTCTTTGCTTTTAAATTCCTTGTGAACTTGCGATATAAGCAGACTAATGATATAAGTACTTAATTACTATCAGTACCTAGGTACTATAGAATAAAATAGAAGTGTTGGCACTGAAGAAATAGGCCCATGGCGGCCATGGGCCTATGGGCAGGGGCGCAGGGCCAACAGCCATGGCATGGCCTGTTGCCGAACTATGTTATGGGGCAATTATGGGCAAAAGATGACCTTGATATTTTAGTTGCTATTATGAAATAAGGTAGGCCTAATTTAGGTAGGCACAAGGCAGACTAGCCTCAGTCTGGCCTTTGCCCCTTTAGGCTTTCCAGGCCTTGAGGCCAGGCAGTTGACATTTCATTTTCATTAACCAATTAGCTAAAGAAGAACATCAAAATGCAGGTAAAAAATAAAAAAAATGGGTTTTTGAACCAAATGGGTTATTCAGTCATTTATGTGGGGTATAAAACATAATAAACCTAATAAAAATAATTTTTATTTCTGGTTCTTACCTCTGGCATTTTAAATAGTTCACGTGAATTATATAGGGCCTAACTGCCTGTCTGGGAACTGGGGTGCAACCATAAACAATGAATTACATTTTGAGATGATAAAAATGTCTCCATGTTCAACCTAAAGCATGTGTTGCTTCATATCAAGACGTAGAAATCTTACATCAAATACAACCGGATGATTCAAGCAATGTGAAACTTGAGTGAGTAAAATTAGGTTTTGTCTTACCTTAATATTCCAATAAAGGAGATTAAGGCTTCACGGCTGACGAAAAGCTAGATTCCGTAAGGAATTCCAACTTTTTGTGGTTGACATTACGAGCGACTAAACAATTGTTTTCCGAGGTAGACTGATAGAAATTTGATGGCAGAAAGCCAGACACGAGTAATTACAATCATAAAAATCCTTGAACATTCTTATTTAAAAAAAATAAATATTTATTCGTTAGGAATATCTTTAAAAATATTATCAAATAAATAATTTGAAGGTTCGCTAGATTTTTACTTCCATCTCCTGGTGTTTATGAATGAATGCAGTCTCTCTCCCGAGGAAATAATTTTCTGTAAAAAGAAGGATTACATGATTTTAAAGTTCGTACTCATTTTTTGATAGTTATTGAGACTAACATATAAAAATTTCGTCAGTTGTCCCGTCTAAAAATTCAATCCAGAAGCTCTACGGTGGACAGCATGGAGTTTGTTCAAATATAAATGGCTGTTCAATACTTATGGTAACTAAAAAAAAATACCACGAAGATAAGGCTCCGGTGCTGATAAAACGATATCAAACAAGCGCTGAAGCTAGTGTTTGAAGCATGGCATGAGGAGCAATGCTAGTGCAATATATTGTGTCAACGATATTTCTCCATTTTCGCTTCATAAATGACTTTAAATCGAGCTAAATGTGATTATATTGTGTTTATTTTACTTCTAATGAATTTCAATCGAGCGGTTTGTTGTAGAGGTTACATGAAAAAAAAGTGAAGCCATGCTTTTACTGTGATGCTGTAGATTCTATATAAAGCATTCTATCAAAGTGACCCATTGTAAAAAGTGAAATTTTTAGAAAATTCATAATGGAGTATGATTCTATACCAATTCCCCGATCTACGCCCGAGACCACAACTCCAGGTGAGAAAAAAGTACATGAATAAAAGCATTAATTAAAAAAAAACACATCATCAGACAAGAGTTTTCTCAAACCTTCTAATCGTGCATATATAAGATATCGAATGAGCTATATCATATTTTATTACGTACAGTATGTGTGTTTTAAGCATAGTTTGGTATCACTCGAACCAACATCGTACCTAGAAGCCCTGTCTAGAAGCCAATATTGTCTCATCACGTTCAGAATTATGGCTTTGGCGTTGTAGAAAAGATTGATGGAACATTTTTGATTCTTTTCGTAAAACTTCTAATGTTTCGTATACATTCACATGCGTCTCCAACGTTTTTCATTCAGTTTCATATATGTTTCATTCAACATTCAAATTGTAAAGATTTTCAAGCATTTTTTGAGCATATATCAGCACTCAAGACTTTTAATCACATTTTGATTCTGGTTTTGCAAATTTCCTCGAATTTAAGATACATTTGTAAACCAAGTCCAATTATTTTCATTTTAGATTCCTTTTATTTGTTTTACTTTACATTTTTGTATACAACTCTATAACCTCAAGTTATTCCATTCGTTTCCCTCCTCCACGAGTGGTTGCATGGCCGGGGTTAAAATTGATATCAACACTCCAGCTGGACCACTCAGACAGACGCGCCAGTAGATAATGCAAGTGATATGAGAACTCCGCCCTAAAAAATCCCTGTACCTCAAATCCCTCTATCCAATAGCTCTGTACCGCGAATCCTGTCATTCAAAAGCCAAGTATCTCAATCTCGACATTCAAAAGCTCTGCTCTTTGAATCCCGACATCCAAATACCCTGTGCCTTATATCCAGCCATCCAAAAGCGCTGCACCCCAAATCATGTCATACAAAAGCACTGTACCTCGGATATTGCCATCCAAAAGCCCTGTAACTCAAATTATGTCATATAAAAGCCTTGTACCTCGTATCTTGCCACCTCAGAGCCCCTGTAAATTGAGTCCTGTCATCCGAAAGCCCTATGACATAAATCCGGTCAGTCAAAAACCCTGTATATTGAATCCCACTCTCCATAAACTCTGTACCTGGTGGGATCCTGCTACTAAAAAAACCAGTACTTCGACCTCTTAGAGAACTTCTAACTTGCGTCTGTGCCCGTCAGAAGTTCTATGGGATTTCGCGTCCCTAGGGGCATTGTTCCTGAGAGCGTCACCACTGAACTCGCATGGGAGTTCCATTAACTTCTAACTACATTTTTATGTAGGGAGGATTTCTTGCATGTCTCTTCTCTGTCTCTCTCGAGCGGGTGGCCGAGTTCTCGTGTAAGCGACCTCTTGCACGAATGTATTCATTTCTGTTGATTTTCACCTGTCCCTCCTTGTCACTTCGTCACTTTGAAATGCTAACGATGCTTCTTTCGAGCCAGCTTCAGAGGACTGGACACTCGAGACCTTCTGCCTCATGTGGGTAATGAATGATTGGAGAAAATTTCAATAATTGAGACCTTTAATTTGCTTGGCCGACAATGTTAATTATTGACATCCGATGCGAACCAGCTTGATAGCTGGAGCGCTAGCCAACCATCCTACTACATATATACTACTACCACTACCTGTACCTCGAATCCCGCCATTCAAAAGTACTCTAACTCAAGTCATGTCATCCGAAAGCCCTGTATTTTAAATCCTGCCATTCATAATCCCTGTACCTCGAATCCCGTCATCCAAATTTACTGTACCTCGAATTCCGCCATCCAAATGCCCTGCACATTAAATCACGCCAACTAAATGCCCTGGTACATCATACATGGTACCTTAAATCATGTCATTCAACGTCTCTCACTCTATCTAAAATCTCATTATGTCTCGAGCAACTCCGAAACAACCTGCTTTTATATATAAACGAGTTCACTTAGATGAGAACGAAGCAATGCTCTATGTTTGAAACGGTATTTTATAGTGACACAGCACGTAGCAGTGGTTGAGCATGTTTATCGTACAGTGTTCTACTTTAATGTATCGAAATTATATTAATCACACTAAACATGACCTGCCTTTAGTATACCATCAATAATAAGCGTAGGATTAAGGGAAATCTCGTTGCAGTGCAACGAATGCCATGTAGCTTCACATGAAGATTTCGATGGCCATTTGGACGCTCCGAGCATACGTTATCAGCAACTAAAACAAAAAACTAAATGAAGTCCATTGGAAAATATTTTCTCTCTTTTTTTCCCCACGGAGAATTACTGTATTTCTGGAATCAACCATCAACTATTGGAGATTTCACCACATGAACCCTCTACGAGGAGTAACGAAAAATATTTAGCAACAGGATGGCTTTACGTACATTCCAAAGCATGGAAAAGAACTAAAAGGAGCGACCATTTTTGAAAATTGTCTTACAGCGATAACTGATTATAACTGATTAACGCTGTGGCAACAAGTACCTTCAGCGTCGCTTGTTCGTTACGGGTTCAGAACGCGTTAAAGATAACACTACAAGGATGGAAAGATATGATTTATCTCTGCGGTGCTTGAATCATTGAAGTCCACTAGTTATTTGAAGTCATACATTGTACAACGCGCAATTTGGTAGCACAGAAGCCATTGCTCCGTAAAACGATTTTTTTACAATCGAATTCACACTGTGGGACCTGAGGCATAAGAAATTGATCGTAAGTTAGTCTTAGTGACCGCGAATTACAGTTACTATAAGTACACGGGACTGTACTAATGTACAGTACAGTTTACAAGAAATTAACCGTAAGTTACTTTACTAACGAAAAAGAGGTTCATTTAATTTCGATTTTTATTGTTTTGCTGAAGTCAGGAATATCCCGTGGCGCATTTACTAACGTAAATGAGCGTAGATTATGTTTTTGGTATATTTTGATGCATCGACTTGGCGATGATTGTCTCCCTCATCAGTTCCTAAACTGAGGAGCGCGCCCATAGTTGGTGCTGACACTTGGTTGAAGATTTCAGGAAAGTATATACAAGGATTGGAAAATATTGTGCGTTGAATCTGATGAGTGACGAACGAGGTCACAAAGATCGTTTATTTGTCGGATAATAAATATCGGATTTTCTAGCATGGATCATCGATACTTCCCGAATTTAAATTTTAATGGTAACACCCTGAAACATTGAAAGTGAGGTCAAAGTTTGATTTGGAATGAAAAGGTAATTTTTTGGAGTCCATTCAAACTAGCAATTCTGTAATGTTGTATGTAGGCTGCAAATTCACTACTTGTATTCAGACCATAGAGATTAAGTATACCGGCGCTGATGTAGGCAGAGGCTGGTAATGGTAGCTGTGTCAATTCCGGCTTGCGTGTTGGTGCCTCGCTTACAGGGGATTACCTGACCATCGCCTAGGTGAGCTGTATTTTGTGTTACTGTTGAATACCGTTACTGTGTTATGCGTTACCGTGTTTCGTGTTAATGTTACTGTGCCTTTGTGTGTGTTCACTTATAGGTGGCTTATATTGTAAATAATTAATCTGGCGTCATATAGGCCGTTGGTAGGGTAGTCATTAGGCGTATTAATTAACAGTGTACTTATTATGCTTATTTCTCTTCTAGGATCAAGAGCTTTGTCCCTCAGTTAGCTCGCTCTCTCTCTCCTCCGCGTCTTAGCTCCGTAGTAGGCTATTTGTTAAACTTCTTAGTTAATAAACCTTGAACTTGCATCTGTTATAACTTATAAATCCCGTCACGCCTTAAGCATTGCTTCGTAGCCAATTGGGTAGCTGTTAACCTCATCAGCTTCCGGTAATTGGTGGGTGAGACAACTATGGTCAATACGAACCGTTAAGTGAGGTTACCGGCGATTGGTGGTCGGAGGCCAGTTCATCACAAATTCAAAACAATAATCAAACTGTCGGTACACAATTATAACAAAACTATCGGTTCAGAACTATAACCAAACTATCGGGACAGAATTCTAATGTTGTTATGCTTGTCCTAGCCGAGTGTCGTGCATACCATCATCACCAAACATTTGATATGCGTTGTTATGCTTGTCCTAGCCGAGTGTCGTGCATACCATCATCACCAAACATTTGATATGCGTTGTTATGCTTGTCCTAGCCGAGTGTCGTGCATACCATCATCACCAAACATTTGATATGCGTTGTTATGCTTGTCTCAGCCAAGTGTCATGCATACCATCATCACCAAACATTTGATATGCGTTGTTATGCTTGTCTCAGCCAAGTGTCATGCATACCATCAATATCATCACCAAACATTTGATATGCGTTTTTATGCTTGTCCTAGCCGAGTGTTAGGCATACCATCATCGCCAAACACACAATGATGAGAAACACTCAATAATGATAAACATTCAATAACGATAAACGCTCAATAACGATAAACACTCAATAGTTTTGAAGTATCCCAAGTTAAAGCAATGTAGAGTTATCTCTCACCGCCGCTCGTGTCGTGCAGACGACTACAGCATGGACCACGCCAGTGCCCCCGTGGTGACGGTGGCAGTAGGTTGTGATGTTGTGCTCGTCACTACGTCGTCTGTGGTGACGGCCTCGTCTCGTCCCGAGGTAAGATGCTGCTCTTCAGGTAGAATTTTTTTCGTAATTATATCCGTTAGTGACTTAGCGTCTTAAACAAGAACTGAGCATTATAAGTCTGATATTACGCTGGAATTTTTTTTAATTATATCCGTGTGCCCTAAAAAAGAACGGAGCAATATATTGTAAGTCCCTTCATGATTGTAGATGAATAGGAGTATTCAAACTAGCGCGTTAGAAACGATCTATTTAAATAAAAACTATCGAAATTAGCTTCGACAAATTTTCCCATTTATACGGGACACTTAAAGGCACTGAACGGAGACTTAATTCTAAATTTCGGATTAAATTGTTTAGATTTTTACATCTTTCACGTATTTGGCCTAATTTTCTTCGCAGTTTTGACTGCCAAATTGGTAATTTTGTAGCATGAATGTTACTATAGCCTTTTCTTTCCCACTTTATAGAGATGATACATTTTCAAATCTTTATCAAATTACTAAACTATTTCGATAAATTTGTGAGCAGAGAATAAGAAACTTGTTTCCCACGTGATTTTTGGAATAATTCTAGTCTCTAAGCATAGCACCATCATGAACGGATCTTAAAGATCATTGTAGAGGAGCTCAGAAAATAGAAATTCTGCAAGACATTCGTGCTCTCCTTCTAGTATTATAGAAATTTTCATTTAGGGACTGGATATGAAAATTAGGTAAACAGAACTTGAAAACAGAAATTCTGTTGAACTTCGCTTACCAATTATCAGAAAAAATTGGTCGTCCTTATTTCCAAAAAATGTAACTCAGTACTCACTGCAGTGAGTGACAGAGAGCGCATTTTCTCGTCAACGAAAACGTAAAGTACGGACGGACGGACAGACAGACGGATGGACAGACGGACATGGCGAACACAATAGTGCATTTTTTCATAAATGAGAAAATGCGCTAAAAATACCTACGGCAGTTTCACTGTGCCAGGTTCATTTGCTTGCTTATAAAATCCAACATTAGCACCACCTTAGCAACTTCTTTGTCGGCATCACACTAGAGATTATGTCTATTGTGCCAGCACTAATCATTCTACTGCAGCCATTTAGTTGTATCAAGCACTATATTAACTAGTCCCAATTCTTCGCCCTGGCAGGTTATCAACTCGATTCAACCCTCCAGCGTCAGCAGATCTCCCAGCCCTGACAACCCTCACGCCGGTCCAGCATTTCCCTCGCAACCGACCTCACCAGCTGGAGATGTCAGACCGAGGGTATCTTGTGCGCAATCCTTCAATATAGGACCTGTGAGGTACCCTCTCAAGCACCACTCCCCGCCGTACCTGCGACACGCTCCGTTACCATCTAATGAGACCAGAACCATCATCTGTGAACCTCCCTTCAGCAGACACGCTCCGTTACCGTCTAATGAGACCAGAACCATCACTTGTGAACCTCCCTTCAGCAGACACGCTCCGTTACCGTCTAATGAGACCAGAACCATCACTTGTGAACCTCCCTTCAGCAGACACGCTCCGTTACCGTCTAATGAGACCAGAACCATCACTTGTGAACCTCCCTTCAGCAGACACGCTCCGTTACCGTCTAATGAGACCAGAACCATCACTTGTGAACCTCCCTTCAGCNTCGACTGACTGGCGTCATGCATACCGCCATCATCGACTGACTGGCGTCATGCATACCGCCATCATCGACTGACTGACACTACGCATACCGCCATTACTGACTGTCTGCAACAAATAACTCTACTAACTAAAAGAACTGGGATCTATGATCGTTTACTGTCTGTGACCACGGCAATCTGCAATCAAAATACTGGGACAGCTTCAGTGAGTAACCGTCAAGTCTCTGTTACCGTGGCAATAGAATAGAATAGAAATGTCGGCGCTGAAGAAATAGGCCCATGCAATGAAAAATCGTTGATTGGTATCAGGGTATTCAGTAATCGTCGACTGACTGAGATCACGGCTAGATTATTCGTCGATTGACTGGTGCCACGAAAATGAGTAATTGTCGACTGACTTCTAATATGGCTTAACGCCGCTGTGGCGTTGTAGATTAAATAAATAGCCCAAATAAAGTTAAGCACGTAGAGGTTGCCGACTCGGCTCAATAACACGTTGGTTCGACAGGTGAGGTCTCCAAACAGGCGTTAATTGGGTAGGTTAGCCTCTAATACTCATCGGTATGGCGGTTAGGGATCGTATTATCTGCAGAAAAATAATAAATACATCACCTCGACGCAAATTAACAGGCGCGTTCAAATAATTACCGCTAAGTTTAATTAAACAGAACAACCAGCAGCGTTTATCCATCCGAACTCCCGTACTGGTTGCACATTACCTCCAACATCACCAGTGCTCAACTCCAGCCTTAATCGCTCATGTTTAAACCGGCACCGAAGACGGAAATGAATTGATATTGACGTCCCAGACAGCACCGATGACGTTAATATATTTATAACGACGCGTCAGACAGCACCGATGACGTTAATATATTTATAACGACGCGTCAGACAGCACCGATGACGTAAATATATTGATGACGACGCGTCAGACAGCACCGATGACGTAAATATATTGATGACGACGCGTCAGACAGCACCGAGGACGTAAATATATTGATGACGACGCGTCAGACAGCACCGCTGACGTAAATATATTGATAGCAACGAGTCAGACAGCACCGATGACGTAAGTATACTGTCACAATGGAATCAGCTACCTCGTGTAACGACGGGAACTAAAAATCTTTCAACAATGTTCTGCTCCACAACCTCACCCCCGACTCAAACTCCCAGACCAAGTGCCAGATGCAGTCAAGATTGAGGCTACGTCTTTCCATCGTAAATTGCTTTTAATTGTAATTGACGCAGCTGTACGTTTTAAATTATTCAGTCTCCCCTATAATAATGTTTGTTATTTTAATCCGTGGGTTTTAACTCTACCTGTACAAATAGAACGGGATCTCGAGGTTAACCGAGTAATCATAGTTTAAATTACGTTTCTGGAGAAGCATGACCAAAGTGTAGACCACGCTACCCTGAATATACCACACATATTGGTCAACAACCATTTTTCTGTAACGCTAACTGTAATTCGTCACTTATTAAATTGTGCCACGACCTTAATTATTCATCGACTGACTGTACCATGACTGTAATTATTCATCGACTGACTGTACCACGACTGTGATTATTCATCGACTGACTGTGCCACGACCTTAATTATTCATCGACTGACTGTACCATGACTGTAATTATTCATCGACTGACTGTACCACGACTGTAATTATTCATCGAATGACTGTACCACGACTGTGATTATTCATCGACTGACTGTACCACGACTGTAATTATTCATCGACTGACTGTACCACGACTGTAATTATTCATCGACTGACTGTACCACGACTGTAATTATTCATCGACCTGCTGTACCACGACTGTTACTAATCATTTAATGATTAATAACAGATTACACAGATTTGATTTGATTAATAGTAGACAGACTGGTGCCACTGAAATCAGTAATCTTCAACTAACTGGTGCCACTGCAATCAGTGGTCGTCGAATGACTGGTGCCACTGCAATCAGTGGTCGTCGAATGACTGGTGCCACTGCAATCAGTGGTCGTCGACTGACTGGTCCCACTGCAATCAGTGGTCGTCGACTGACTGGTCCCACTGCAATCAGTGGTCGCCGACTGACTGGTACCACAGCGATCTCTACGCCTCAGTTTACTATGAGTCAACTGAATGTAAAGTGATTCATCTCACGACATTTAAGTTCCCGTAGACAAGGCGAGTCGTGCCGCTACCTCAATACTGTCATCATTTTACCCAATGTACTCGTATATAAAGCATTGAAGAGCGAAGGTTTGGTTCATTTACATAGTTTGGTTCGAATTCCACTCATCTAAGCAATCTTTTAAATTTAATTGATTAGAGGTTGAGATAATATTTTCTGCGGATGTATGTAAGTTGATAAATAATATGTGTTGATTATATATTTTACTCCGATACTAATATAATTGTTAAATTGGAAATATTAGGCAAATTGCAAATAAATTTATGCGTTCCAAATTTTTAACAGGACTTTAATTGGACCACTCACGAGTTTGAGTTTTCATTAAACAATCATTTACCACACCAAAATAAATCTCTGCTTGTACTATTGAAAATTCGATCAAATAAAACTACGCAATGAATGTGAGCTTCCCCAGTCCAACTGGTATAATTGGTCGTTACGTTATCATCTCCAGCTAAATATCAACCGAAATAACTCTTATTTTCTGTCCTGACCATGAATACTTCTCAGACGCAGAGAAGCCTACTCACGGGAGAAGACTTCACGCACAGAAAAGTGGTTTCTACAATTTCAATTACAGAAAAATTTACTGTTGCCTGCCCCCAGTTTATATTGAGTCTCCTAGAGACCATCGTGTTGAGGCCGCATACGCGAGACGTCGGCCACCACACGGTTGAATTAATAATATTACAATTATGATCATGGGCCACCATGCGGGACTTCTAATAAGCAAATGTGAGCCTCAGACGAGACTCGTAATGATTGAACTGGTATAAGGTTGACCTACGAGAAGCTCATTTTCGCGGATGGAGCATTTTACCCCTGTGACGTCACTGATCTCAGTGACGTCACGGGCATTAACTAATCACCGAAATGCAATCAAACCAGTCAACCAATCCATCATGGGAATTACGTGTTTGTTTACGTTTCTCGATCTACGTGACGTAACAAGAAAGCTGAACTGAAAGGGGGAACTTAGGTGGGTCAACCTTATATAGTTCAACCAAGAGACTCGTGGCAGGGAACACTCCAACAAGAAGATTGTGTATTGACGCAAGGTCAATAAGAAAAAAGACAGCATTTTGAATGCAACATTCATTATGGGACACAAAAATATAGTCATAATATTAACAACATTATATCACTTCAAGATGAACGGACATCAAATACAGTTTTCATGAATCTTCCTATAGTATATTTAAGCCACGTATGATTTGTGAGGTCTACAAGCTTGAAATTTCCCTGCAATGTGGACAAGGCATAGGAAATATGGCGTCTTGATTAAAAACATTGATTTGAACTTCTCCAGAGAGATAATTTTTTAATTTCAGTGTTGACACTGGATAATATCATTCACAAGGCCGGATTATATATTTTAAATGGCATGAACATTTTGAATATATTTAAAAATTTAACCGAGTCTGGCCAAACATCAATCGCCACCCGAAAACATTCGAAATATTTTAAAATTATTTGAGAGAAACTGCTATTTTCTATGAGTGTTGGCCCTTATAAAGTATAAAGATCACTTACTGATGACGGATAAATGGGAGTAAAAAATCGCATACTTAATAAGCGAGCATTAATATTACCAAGAGTACTGTTAATTGCCTTCTTCCATAGCTCATAGTTTAATTTTATTCCATATGAAATGCTGCTTCAGTAGTCAGTCAGGAATCGTTGCAGTAAATGAATCGGGCTCGCCAAGCTCCCGCGCGTATCCACGTTAGCCGCGTTGCTACGCCGCCATCTTTGTATCACACTATTCCGGCTCAGATAATAAATATTCCAGTTTCGATATAAACACGTACATTAAAACATCTAGAAATGTTGGTATCTTGAAAGCGTTTCAATACACTCACTTATTTAACCTTAATAGCGCCAGTTAAATCCTCTGGGATTAATACATATTCTCGGAGAACCTGTCACGCCTGTATATTATTTCATTTGTCACGTGAACATTTGTCATATTAGTAAGTTTTAATGGCATACAAATCAATTCTTCTAACGATGATAAATTTTCGAGACTTGGCTATAACTGGATAGGTACCACTTAATTATTTGTTGAAATAACGTTACGCAAATATGTTAGAGGTAAGATACAAATCGAAACTAACGTCGAATGCCATCACAACATAAAATACATTTAAAATTTAAACAAAACCCTCTAAAATCGCCACTCTGGCTTCCTCAAAGCAGAGGAATGAATTGATTAATGCTCTTGCATGTCAAGCTGGCCACAACATGTAGTAAGACAACGATTGAAACAAGGTATAAGCTCCTTATAGAATACCGTACGAACCAAGTCTGCTCCCACTACAGGACCCTATATCACGGTAGGAACTTTAACCAAGTAGTGATATAATCGGTAGCAAGCAATAGGTTATCCCTGCTTTGCATCTAACGAATCAGCCGTCCTCTGCTTCAGCTACCCATAATAAATCCCAGGTATTGTGCAACTTAGGACAAACGGGGCAGACATCGGCACATGGATGCACTTGGATTAGATTTAAATGGGACTCATGATCCCTTATAATTTAAGTTACTGCATGGGGGTGTCAAGTGGGTCCCATTTCATAATCAGGGCAGCTACTGAAGCGCTGAATGGAGCCCTAAATTTCATTAATTAGTGAAGTTCCTATGAGCCCCATACGACCATATCGATCATAATGCAGTTAGTACATAGGGAAGTGCATACACAATACTTTCGTTAAAGCACTATTTACCACAGCAAGAACAAAATATTTGAACTACACAAAAATTTGACTGGCCTAAATGACCAAGATATAAGGATAACTTGCAGGTCACACCGAGTTCCTCATACGGAACATGATGTTGATGACTTAAACGTTATCGTCTTTGACTGCAGGACTCTCTTCAGCCGTAAGCATGACTGCGTCGTCCGCTGTCGTGTCCAAGTCCGAGTAATTCTTCTTCGACTGTATGGACGAGGACAAGCTGGATACTTTCTTTGACACCTGTAGAAATGTATTAATAAGATCCATTGAATGAAGAGATTTGTTACAATTAATCTCATTCTATGTTTATGCGAACCAGTTCAGATTTGGCAGAATGCAAGGAGAGACATAAGTAATGAATCAGGATCAGTACTTATTTGTTTCAAAGCCCTTTATTTAGCAAAACAGCTGAGGGTCTAACACTGAACCCGAAAAGAGATGAAAATACTTCTGAGATAAAAGATTTGCCAGGAAACGACAATGGTGGCTAGACTTTTGAACGTGTTGCATCAATGACTATGGATATGATGGCTTTTGATGGATGAAGATGTGACTTCTTGCAGGCAAGCATTAGCTGCTTTAGCAACCCTACAGAAGATTGAAAAATTCAACTCATCATTGCGTACCAATGGCATTTGCAAAAATACTAATAATGCAGCCATCCTCAAGAGCATGAAGCAAATATACTGAAGAAAATGACTTCGCACCTCGAAACGGAAAATCCCTAAAGAGTCTGATGTTAAATTAGACGAGGTGTTAAGAGATCCCCCTAAAATAACCCAATCACTTACAGAGTACGTAAGAGCAGAAAATAAGCGCACATAAAAGAACAATTCGAGCACCTGAAACTACCATTCGATGCATTTAAAGATATATTCAAAGACATCGAATGACTCTTGATTGCCTATTCATACATGGGAAGAGGAGGCATCCAAGACGTACAGAAAATTAGAAAGCTTGGCATGAAGAGCACTTCGGTCCATTGGGAGCCACTGTATCTATCTTGCATTGGACATTGATTTGAAGGGCTACTTCGTTCCATCAGGAAACGAACGTACCCATCTTACAATAGACATTGTTATGAAAGGCCCTTTGTTCCTTCTGAATACAACTATTCCTTAACTAGGGGTTTAAGATTGACGTAATGGATGGAATCTTCACCTGACTCAGTGTGGACGCTAAAGTGTTCGCGAAAGATTTCTTTGAAGCGGGATCCACTTTCGATGACTTCATAGTAATGTCCGAAGCATCTGAAGAGGGTTTTGCAGCAGAAGGTCCCGCTTCCGCCGGCGATGCCGACGAAGGTGATGCTGAAGAGCCTGGATCTTGAGGTAGCAGAGTCGTGTAGCTGCTAAGAGGAGCCGTCTGCCGGGAGTGATGAATGCCGTAGCAGAAGTACAGCAGCAGGCCTGCGAAGCGTGGAAATTACCAGCGGTTTCATCAAACATTTGAAGCACACAGTTCAAAATAATAAAATAAAAAACGTTACAGGATATCATTTGCATCCTAAACAGACGACGTTCGAAAACAGACGCAAGAATTATTACAAAATTTGTTTAGTAGAATGCAAGCGGAAATACTGGATATCATTTGGAACCTAGACAGACGACGTTCGAAAACAGTAGTAATAATTATAACAAAATTGGTTTAGTAGAATGCAAGCGGAAAAATAAACCTGTACCTATTGTCATCCAGACGATGAAGCGGACCCAGGTCATGGGGTTGAGGTGCACAATGAAGGAAATGTTCACGAAGATGGACGTCAGAGGCAGCAGGGGCACAAAGGGCACTTTGAAGCTGAGGCGCAACGCGCTCTGTGTGTGCGCCATGATCACGCCTGCGCCTGATGCGTGTTTCAGGTCCCGTAAAAAGGATGATAAAAGTAAGCTGTCTCAGAACCTACCATTGAGTTTAATTTATAGTTAACTACGCAGTTATACATGTAGATAAACAACTTTCATAGGAGCGCACAAATTCCTCGATAACACACATATTGTCAGCAAAATATTGAAATGTTATTATTTACATAATATATATTATTAGATTATATTATTATATATTATTAGTGTATTATTTATATTTATATAATATAGAATATTATTTCCATTCCGACGAACAAGTGAGCAGCAGCACGCAGAAGAAGACGGCAAGGACGATGGCCCAGTCCGGCGTGGCCTGACCCCGCGACTTCATCAAACGCTCGTACAACATCGGGTACCTGCGGTGCCAGGGAAATATTTGCAGCATTTAATCTAATCCTAAATTTGGAATTTCGAATTTTATATTTTCGGAATAGGAAGATAAATTTTCAAGTCACTATTGGACACAGGGACGTTGCTCTGCTTGACGTGCCTATGAACAGAGACGGCGTGCCTCCTTCTTCAGAAGGATGCGGTAGTTCATTTCCTATTCGATAAATTCTTCCTTCACATTCCGTTACTCTAGAATGGAAGTTGCATGACGTCATAGTGACCGTTTTATATCTAGGTGCGTGCTGCGCCTAATTGGATCTAAAACAGGTAGACTGTTGAATATTGACACATAGAATATCTCTCTCCATTAAAGAACCAACCAATTTTAAGCATGATATGAAAAGTTAAATTTAAATTTTATCAATTTATGTCATGATAGCATCAAGACATTAAAATTGAAATTTGAAAGGTATTACATGAACAAAATTTTTAATTAATTAGACATTGAAAAGCGATATTTCAATTTGGTAACTACTTCAGTATGTCACGTAGACATGAAATCCTTTATTAACTCATCTCCGTGAGTGACGGACACTGATTTAGCGAAAAGCTTTGGCCTAAAAGATTGAATTCATATTGCACAGCATGGAAAGTAGAGCAAATACGAAAGCCGCGACATAATATTTAATGATTATATATAACACTCATCACGAAAAATAAACAATGGATATAAAGAAGCTGGTTCTGTAACCGGTAAACCTAGATTCTCTGGGAAACAGAAGTCCGGGAACTACCGTCAGATTTCAGAAAATTGCAATCGAAAATGAAAAACCTGTACATCAAAGCAATTATTTGGCTCATTTTGGGGTTAAGTCAAGCAAAGAATGTTCAGAAATGAGTGTAGTGGTCTCTCAATAATTGATAAACGGCTCGGACCCTTAAAACTCGTTGTCGGCCTTGTCAGTCGAGTCGATCAGTAAAACGTTCACTGCAGTAGCGCCTTGAACTATGAATTTCTTACTTTTATTATGTTAAAGCAGATTGGTTCTTCCGATGATTCGGTACGAGCAATGTTTTACTTTCATATTGCTGATTTCTATTTGACGCAAAGACAATGAAATTTGAATTTTTTTATAGTTACGTTCAAACTTGCAAATTCGTTATATTTACATTCTGTTGAAATGATCCACCAACGAACTTAATATTACTATACATTGCTGAGACGAAACATCTTTAAACCTTTACACCCTAATCTTTAAAAATCCTAAGGAAATTTGAACTTTTCTTAACAATGAGATTGATGCTTGAAAATCAGAAAAATGTCTGTGGCATTCAGGGAAAAGAATATAGACTTGAAACTTATTGAACAGGTGACCAGCCGAGCAAAGCACATAAAAATGTGTGAAAAGTCATGGAAAATCCAAACGAAAACGAAAATCCCTGCGTCGAATAAATGGAAATATGTACATAAAATGAATTTTTCGTGTTGCATCCAAAATCTTTATTTTCCTAGGGAATATATATTCTCCCTGTGCATATGCGATTGTCTATAATTTGTAAATACAGATTCAGTTATGCGCAATATGCATCATGCATAGCATAGGTATGACGTCATGTAACTTATTCCATTCTTGACTGGCGGAGTGTAAAGGGAAAATTTATCTACATCATATCCTTTTTTAGGGAGAATTTATCTACATCATATTCGGCTGGACGTATTCAGGGATGCACTATGAAGTCCCCGTGAACTAGGGAATTTTAAAATTCCTATATATTTTTCAACAGAAGTTATGTTCGAAAGATCCCTTTATTTTATTTAATATCTTAACTCATATCTAAGAAATTTTAATAGATTGGTTTGTTAATCAGCTCGTGATTATTTCCCGTTTCTACATCTTTTATTACTAAATTTTTAATTAAATTTCTGTTCAGTTAATTTCGGTTAAGCTGTTTCCATTCGAGGATTTTTGAGGTAATTATGGAGCTGAACTAGAAAACGATTCTATAAAGAAATGATGAATTTTATGAAATTTAATTTGATGTCAAATTCTTAGTTTGCAGCTGAAACGATCGAATGATAGTCATACGTTAATAAAATCTTACGCAAATTCACTTACGCATTCACTTCGCGAGCCGCTAAGAATCAAATATGATATTTACAAACAAACGAATATTTTCATATATCAACTCAATTGACAACTTTTTCAGCAAACTTAAAATTTCAAAGATAGAGATTTGCAATTCATAGTTAGATGGCCAGCAGAACATTAGGTTTGTCCACAATTATATAAACTAAACAGTAGAAGATCTCATATGGGTACTATAGGTAATAACGTACGTAGCATGAGAATGTTAAAATGAATCGAAAAATGTGAGAAATGGTCTTCCCACCTGAGTACAGCCTCTTGCAGTGTTTGGTTGTGCAGTAAAGTGTTGGCAGTCACGCTACCCATCCCGTACTGCATGAGCAAGCACAGCCCTGCCGACACTGCCGTGAACGCCACCACAGCATAGCTCACAACCACCCCAGGCTCCCGCTGGCCTAACACCAACGCAACCCAATAGCACTTCGGCTTCAGGCGTCCACCCATGCTGCCCTCGCCCTCCGCCCGCCCCGGCTTTGTGACAACAGAGACGTGGAATCAAATTAATTAGTGGAACTAATTAATTAATAGAATTAAAACATCAATAAGTGGAATCCACTGAAAATAAGTATACACGCAGTGGAAGATTTCTGGTCCAGGATTAAGGACACGATTTCAGAAACAAAATTAAGGAACAATATCGAGAGCAATGCTCTTTTCAATTATTCCTAATAAAATTAGAATACTTCAAGTGCACATACATGAGGATGTTGGCGGAACACAGTCGCCATTACGGAACTATCCGATCGAGTCTACATCTGTTTTCATGATTTTAAAATGCCTTTATCTACTGAAAATCCTACCGATTGCCAAGTAAGTCCGTTCTTCTGGGCTCAAGGCTTCACATCAGTTGACATTCATCGCCAAATCAGTGAAGTGTATGGTGAAACAGTATGAATGATGGAATGGGGCGGAAATGAGATTTGGGCCTTTAAAGATGGCCGCACAAACATTTATTATGAGGAACGAACTGGTCGACCTTCAGACATTACAGATGATCTTATCAAAAGGTGTACTGCAAAATGGAAGAAAGCATACGGTGCTTGGCAGTATTTACTTACGTAAATACACGCCCCATATTATTATAATCTTAATATTATTGATAGTATAGTTATAGTACAAACTAATGTAAATAGTTTTGTTATGAGGACACTCCGAAACATCATTGTGATCGTCACCTCGATGTCGGCAGGTGCAGCAGGGGTGGCTGGAGTGGGCGGCACGTCAACTGCAGCGTCCACGTCTGTCTTGCTGCTCCAGCTTGTCGTGCAATATTCAAGGCACGATAATATATATTTAATTAATTAGGTGTGTGCTGCTGATTGTAATATTCAAGGCAAGATAATATTAGAAAAAACGATAGCCATCATGAAGCCACACGATCATTCAGTTAGTAAGAAGTTTGTAATAAGAATGTTATTTAAATTTTATTTTAAGCAGCGTTCCTCTCTTAGTCTACGTCTGATTGAACTTAACTGCACAATAACTTTCCAATTATTTATAATCAAGTCATAGATATATTTTTGCATAAACCACGTAATTTTACATATTTTTGTTTTTTTCTTGCGATAAACATCAACCGACTGAATTTTTATTTAATATGTAAAAGAATTGTATTTTTTTAACAATATTGTAGGAGGTGTGAAAAATCTAATATAATGAAATAACTGCAAAATACTACGATTGACAAGCTGCAGTCTGTCATGAACAGTCTTAATTAATTAAACAGGTCATCTGCCGTCTTAATTTTAACTTCAAAAGTCATCACAAACTTCGTGAACAAAAATTCGTTTTTTTAGAGAAAAATAAAACAAATTTGCAATTCATTTTTTCAAGAGACAAATAAAACTAATTTGCTGCGAAATGGTAAGCAGAAGAGCTAATTTAAACTCCAGAAGTCATCACACACAGAAAAAATAATGGGTCATATTTTCCAATTAGTGACACACTTTCTGCACGTAGCACAGATACCGTACGCCTTTATTGCCTGGGCAAACTGGGTCGGAGTGATCCACTTAAGGCCAAAAAGTGCATCGTTATTTGGACAATGTTTTTTATTTTTCTGAGTGCACAAACTCCGTGAGCAAAAATTCGTTTTTTTTTATGAGACAAATAAACTGAATTTTCTGAGAAAGCGCAAGCAGAAGAGCAAACCTGTGTTCGGGCTGGTAGCGCAGTATGATGACGGAGGCGCTGACGATGGTGTAGGCCATCAGTATTCCGATGCTCATAAACTCCACGAGCTTCTCGAGGTCAAAAATAAGAGCCGTGAATGCCGTCAACAGCCCACACACCACCACGTTCAGCATGGGTAACTGTAAACAAGAATTTTACTGCCTATTTCATCATGAATCAAATTTGTTGGGCAAATTGCCGTTCTGACACAAATAATATATCAATTTTGAGTAAGTTGATGAGACAATTGATCCGTCAGTTAAAATGTATGCATCGGAAAGATTGAGTACGTTAACGAATTCGTAAAAGATGAAAGAAAAATATAACGTTATCGGATTCAGTTTCAATTGACTGACAAGAAATAATGAGCAAGATGTTTTTAAACATCACTGGTTTTGGTTGTTCTCATAAAAACCGTTCGATATTTACTGACCTTAGTCTTCTCAGATACGACGGCGAACTGTGAGAAGATTAGCCCATCCGAGGCCATGGCGTACACACATCGGGGCAGCGAGAACAGGTTACCCAGTAGAGACGTGGTCATGCCACACAGAGCCCCGATACTCACAACATATTTGGCCCACATGATGTTGTTAACTGCAAAGGCGTCGGGAAGAGCTGAACCAACGTGAATTTCCCTGTAGGGAACCATTAAAGTCAGCGTGGCTCCCACCAATATATAGGCGCATGTCACGATGCCCATGGAAAGCATCGTCGCGATGGGGATTGACCGAGATGGATTTTTGGCCTCTTCCCCCGCCGTGGCGATGCCGTCGAAGCCTGCGTAAGCGAAGAAGCAAGTTGCAGCTCCGGCCACCACTCCCGTGACGCCGTAGGGAGCGAAACCTCCAGGACCCTGCCAGTTTTTGATATCCGCGAACCACAACCCGAAGACAATTACGAAAATGGCGACAGCCATATTTACGCACGTCAGGGCAGAGTTGATGTTCGTGGAACTTTTTACTCCTATAGTGAGAAATAAACAAAAGACCAACGTAATGCCGAAAGCAAGGGGATCTACATAGGGAGCCAGGTATTGTGAGTGCATTGTGCCGAAGGTAGCAATGGTGCCATTTTGGACAGCTCCGTTGAAGAGTGAGTCCACGTAACTCGACCAGGCGCGGGCTACTGAGGCGCCGCCTGTAGCACATGTGCATTAATCAATAGTCAGTCAATTATGGAAAATAAAATGTTCAACTTGTTACTCTCAAATGCTAATTTTTCATATCAGAGAATCGAGTATAAATGAGCCAATTTAATTAAGCGCCTAAAAAAATGAATAATCATACTTCAAAAGTCGAAGTGTAAACTGTTTTCCTCGTAACAAGTATGGTTGCCAGGAAAAATGTTATACCTCACCTATCAGGTATTCTAAAACGATGTTCCATCCAATAACGAATGCCCAGAATTCTCCTATAGTGACGTATGTGTAGACGTAAGCAGATCCCGCTTTAGGAACGCGGGCACCGAATTCTGCATAGCAAATTGCAGACAAAAGCGAAGCGAAACCGGCGAGCAGGAACGAGAGGATGATGGCCGGTCCAGCGGTGTCGCGGGCCACTGTTCCGGTCAGCACGTAGATTCCTGCCCCGAACATGTGCCCGATGCCTGGTAAAAAGAGCCCGAAGTGCAAATACTTAGGAATAAGTGTTTATGATAATAAGAATCAATTCTTAACTGAAAGGTGTTCATGAAAGTCAGCAAAATTTTATGATTTGAAGGTGCTCTATGAACTGTCAGGCTGCAAAAATAAAATCGGTTTCGTCGAGTGTCTCAATGAATCAACTCTAAAGACCTCTGTCCGGAAAATAACGTTAATCTTAATTTATGCATTCCTACTCATTTTATCTGACAATAATTTGGCACTACGTTTAAGCAGAAGTGAGTTATTAGCCATCAACAATATTGACATTGGTATAATCATCAGCCTTACAAGTAGGAACTTACCTAAGAGGGTAATGTCAGCGGTGGTGAGGCATCTGCTAAGTTCCGTTTGCATGACGTTAGAGTCGAGCTTTTTAACGCGGCCCATCCGCATCGCCACGTTGCTGCACATCCTACCTATGTCACCGAACATTGTACCGCTGCTCTTGACCCTTTTATTCCTAAAATTATATTAATACGTGCGCACGGCCAGCGTTTACCGTTGCGCCTTTTCAAACTGATCTCATTGTTGCTGGTATACTTTTGCCAGCACCTCACGTTTAATGCTATAACATTAAAAGGGAAAAAGTAATGAACGCGGTTGTACCTCTTTATCAATGACCCTTCGATGAATAGTTTCATAATTGTGGCAGTTTTGCATGTAAATATCACAACGGTTAAACCTTTGACAAATCACTTGCTTGACTTTTCGATCGCTAAAAATATGAAGAACACCAAACAACATTTCCTCATTTACTTCGCTTACTGGATGTTATTCACGCAATACTTGGATTTTGACTTTGCTCTTCTGGCTGTTAGAATTAACCGAATGCATAGAAAAGTCCGCATTTGATTCTAGTGATGTAAACCAGCAAGGAACCACAATGACTAGAAACAATGCCCACGAGAGACAAATGTCGACTGCTGCACGACCTTCACATGTTGCACCAGAGAACACTTGCACCGTGGCCAGCTGTGTGCTGTCGACATGGATGCTATGAAAATAACAATCATCGATGGTGTGAGAAAATCTAGAATCTCTGGGTTAGACCTCGGATTTCTGTAAATATTACTTCGAATAATAATATCTCTCACAGACCGGTGTTAGATGGATGGATTTATAACATAAGAATTTATCCTGATTTTTTAGCTATGGAACGTCGAACACTAGACAAGTTGCTTTGATAAATGAAATTTCCTTATGAAACCCAATTATTTCATTTCCAACGTATAGCATAGTATACCGCTTAGAAACTTGGAAAAATAATTATGCTAAAATAATAAAGAACCAATGTTCTCAGGGTCTAATCGTTCATGTCCAAATGAACAAAAGTTTTCAACTTTTACTTCCCGAGATATTGTTTGGAAAAAGAAGCAGCAATTTTGGATGAGGTGTATAACGGCCTGCCCCTTGCTCTCTCTGAACTAGGTATCAGGTCTCATATATTTTATGTTTATTTCTAAGAAGAATGAAAAAACGAATAGATGATGAAAGAATATTGTGCTAGGAACGCAAGCAGGTTTAGAAAAATTTTGTCCGGCATCGGAAGCGATAGTGAAAAACTCGATGAAAAGTTCGTGTTATGCAAGTACGCCTTTGTACTTTAGTTATACACTTATACTTTACACTTTGTTTATAAAGTACTCCTTTGCCTGCAGTTTCATGATTCTCCAGATTATAAATAGTTTCCTGATAATTTTAACGATCGCAAATAAAATATTTATGGATGAAATAGATAACGATAAAGAACAATGGAAGTAACTACGCAGCTATCACAGAAAGGGAAGACACAAAACACACGTCAGGAATTATAAAGACAATGATGAGGCCGAAGCACAACACCTGGTGACGTCACTCACTGATCAGCAGGTGGTTCATGTCTGTAGCGGGTTACTTAAACCATCCGTGGGAAGATTCTTGTAAACTATGGTGACATCCATCATAAAATTGACTTGCCATGCAGGCTCGAACTCGACTCGTCAGTTATGGAAAGATCGGGTTCCAAAGGCCGGATCCCTTGTGAATCAAGTCACGAAAAGTTCAAGAATCGGCAACAGGCCATGGGCCTATTTCTTCAACGCCGACACTTCTATTCTATTCTATTCTATTCTATTCTATCCATCATCCTATTGACATGCCCTGACCATGAGTTGCATGGAGAAGCTGCGGTCACCGTAGGACTTATCACCTCAGAACATACGAATATAGTCGAAATTGCTATGTTTATTTGGCGATCGTTCATCGAGTCTTTCGTTGGCTACAAGTCATTCACAAGGAGTCCCACGATGATACTAGTCTTTCATTGACTATAATTCTTACAAGCAGATAACTCATGGTCACGGCAAGGGAAGAGCATGGCAGTAGAACGAAGGATGTCGCCATAGTTTATAAGAATCTGCCTACAGATGGTTTAATTAACCCGTCACAGACACGAACCTCCTGCCGACCAGTGTTGTGCCGACACAACAGCACGAGGTGTTGTGCTTTGGCCTTCATTATTGTCTTTATAATTCCTGCCGTTTGCATTATTTCGTTTCTATCGTAATATCTGCTTAATAAATTCCCTTATTCTTTATTTTCCTAATCAATTTCGTTCATTGTTGTCCTCCTTCAATTATATGTGATAGATCAACTATCAAGAATTATTTTAGATTAAATAACAATCTTGAAATAACTGTAGATAGAGCGCCGCATATCGTGGCAAGTCACTTCACGGGGTTGGAGCGCTATAGCGTGGGAGTCTTGACTTGCCATGCAGGCTCGAACTCGACTCGGTCCAGCGCTCAGCAGCTGGCGACGCGACACGACTCTTCAAACTCACTCTTGACTTCTCACAGTTCACTGTAATTTCTCACAGTACACTGTAATTTCTCACAGTACACTGTAATTTCTCACAGTACACAGTGATGAACTTAACACTTATATCGATCAAATATCATCAGGCAACTGAAGTAGGGATATGCCGCAGCTCCCGAAGTGACAAAAGTACACAACAGTTGCATCACCAGTCTCTTGCTCACCCAAGCGAGTCACTTCTTTCACAAATGACCGTCGTAAACAATCTTACTTAATAAATTCGAACTTTCTCAGGAATAAACACACTTCACAAAAAGCCAGAGCAGCTTTTGAGGCAGCAGAGCGAGCGCAGCAGATGTTCTGCCATTGATCGCAGCAACGCAGCGCTGCCGCCCACGCACGCCGGGAACTGCACGGGAGAGTGGCGGCCACACGCCCTCGAGTCCAGCGCCATCCGGGGGAGAGGAGAGGATGAGGGGACAGGGTGAGGAAGAGAGAAGCTGGAAGAGGGGACAGGGCGAGGAAGAGAGAAGCTGGAAGAGGGGACAGGGCGAGGAAGAGAGTAGCTGGAAGAGGGGACAGGGCGAGGAAGAGAGTAGCTGGAAGAGGGTGAGTGACGGGAGAGAGAGGAAGAGTGGACAGGGCGAGGAAGAGAGGACAGGAGAGAGAACATGGTGAGGAAGAGAGTAGCTGGAAGATGGTGCGAGTCAGGAAGAGGAAGAGAGGTCAGGGGCGAGGAAGAGAGTGTCGGAGAGAGGGTGAAATGAGAGCCAATTTAAAGAGAACCGAGTGAGTGCAGATGAGGGGTAACTGTTGGAGAAGAGGATCGGGCAAGTTAGGAAGAGAAGTGCAGACCGTTTGGGGGAGCGATGAGAGCCTCTGAATGGAGAGAAAATTGCGTGGGTGGAAAGAGGAGTGTAGGACAAACAGCGTAGCTAGCGACATGTCCACGAGTAGGCTTCCTGCAATACAATGCGAGTAATTAAACAAAAATTTGCATTTCCTTTGAAAGCGGGCATGTGAAGGGAAGTAACAGTATTGTCAGGTTTTAATACAAAGACAATACAATAGTTGAACTTTTATTTTCGAACTTGATTCAAATCCTCGAAACCTTTAGTTGATGAATAACATAGAGGAAATGTCTGAGATGACGATTAAAGTTAAAAAACTGGGCTTGGTAGCGGAACGAATACAGATTTGTCGTGATGTGAACCCGGACCCGTTAGTCGGACCCTGACAAAAATAATATCAAAATTTGGTAACGCTGTATTATTCGTCAAAACCTCAGTAATTGACAATAAATTTCAATTTGATCAAGTAGGAAATTTAACCACCCTTGAAAACAAGAATAACTCGGAAGCCAAAAATTAGGTGCCGGTTAAGACTCCCGAGCAAATGGCCGCTGTGTCCCAACAGATGAGACTTTATCCTATAGACACCAACAAAAGGAATGTATGTCAAATAGATAGAGATAAAATTATAACCTAGATGCACCTAAAGTTTTGTTTCACTGTCGAAGCTTCGTCGCACTGCACCCACCAATCTTTCACTAAAGCCGTATATTTTAATTAGGAGGCCAGGTAAATGGAAATAACTGAAGTAGAAGGAAGCGTGGACGTCAAAATAAATCAGTTACTAAGCATAGGTTAGAACAAAGAATTCCAATAAGGTTTGGAACAAATTTACGTTACCTAATTTAGAAGTCAAAGCTCAGAAGTCATAAGCTCGAGCAGAAAAAGTAAATGCCCAAAATTTCCACAGTAATAGGACCTCTTTGGATTAAATGATTAGATAACTTGCACTTTAAACGGATATAAATAAAACTACAAGCATAGAGTGATCAATCAAATGCCAAAATAGATATTAGGAAGGAATAGCTTCAAATACTTCTGCCCGAGCAGCAATTGAACGGCAGTTTACACCTCCTTACATTACTGCTCCTTGTCCATCGATGCTTATGCAACAGAGAGCGCCCAAATTTTACAAACCAAAGAAATTAGGTAATCATCAACAATAACACGGCATAGAGCTTTAATGATGCGTTGCTGAACGAACTAAAGAGAGGTAGCACGAATAAAACGCGTAAGAGAGAACAAAGCGTCCGTTAATGAGAGCTCTCAACATTATAAACTAAAGAATCTTATATCGTCATACTTGCAAATCCCTAACGCGTGTGCTCACTACGTCACTATGAAGTTGCAGTTTGCTTAGGTATAATAACCACACATAATGTGACACGAGTTAAATAATCATTTTCACCTTCAACTCGCTTTACCGTTACTCGCAGCGCCCTAAACAAGCGTCAGCACATAATTACGCTGCCGATTGATCTCCGTTAAGACTCGATCGTTCTTCACTGTCACCTCTTTCTCAGATGAGATTCGAAGTCATTCATCGCTATTAGAGTCGTAGAATTGATGATGAATTTTTTATGTTCGTACATTCTCGGCGCACGTCAGGTTATCCCGATTTTTATACATATGCATGCTAGGTGCATGTCAGGTATTGCTGAATTTAGTACATGTTCGGTCCACACCGCTGATCGAGTGAATAACATATGCCAGTAATGGAGGGAACACACAAACCAATAACGCGTGGCGAGCCAGTCACCTGGGGCCATACTTTTAAAAAAAGTTACGATATCGTAAGTTCATTGGCTTATCGTTGACGGCTTTTCAAGCAAAATCCACCTATCGTAGACAAGAAAATAAGGCGTAAGTACTTACGTTAACTTACCGAGTTTTGAAAGTATGGCCCCAGAACACGACCTGATACTGAAGGATTGCTGATTATTATTATTATTATTATTATCGGAGAAGTTGCGGGGAACTAATCTTCGAAAATTAGTACTATTAATAATGCCACAAACAACGTAAGGATGATAATAATATGAACATTAGGAAAAAATTTAATCTAGAATTCAAGCGAACAAATGAACGATTAATTAGGTAACATTTGTAAAAAATATTTATTCTAACATCAGAGTTAAACAACACAAATTCATCTTAAAGTCAACATGTAGAATTGCTTCAAATCAGAACACAACTTAACTAGCGAAACTGAGAAAAAATCTCACACTCAGTCCAATGCTATCAAATATTAGAATACGATATCAAAGTGCATGATTGCTGGAGTGTGCCATATTGGTTCCATCTCGTATTTCTTTACAAATTTACAGTAGTTGTTTGACCTTGTACAAAACCTATTGCTCTACTTCAAGTTATTCGCATAGACCTGCGCCATCAAGTTTCGGGAGCGGCAATATTACATGAATATTTCTCGAGAAGCGGCAAGCAATTTGCGTTCAGAGTTTGCTGCGGTGGAAAAAATGTGTGGGATGTCGAAGTTTGGCTCGAGCCTGTGGAGTTGTTCCTGGAAGGTGGAGGCGTTTCTAAACCAGCAATGTTGATGTCAGGTCCATCTGACGCTTCTTGAGCGTTGAATTCTTTTTCTCGGTACGTGTAATCACTGCAAGCCGTGAGGTTCAGGTCTTTGACATCGAGCGTGTCGTCTGTTTCGTGATCTGGCATCTCATTGGCCTCCCACGGTAATATTTTTGGATATTGATTGCGCAAGGATTGCTTATATTCATTGATTTGTGATGCACTGACGGAACCAACAGGAAAATATTCTGGCATCGAACTGGACTTATTTAAGGATCCGGGAACACTGGTCGGCCGTATCATAGATGAATGATTTTGGATCCGTGAATTAACACTGCATCCAGGATCATCTGTCGTAGATTGTGCAACGCGAGCTTCGTCGTTAGAAGTAGAGAGTGAATCCGGCCCATTTCTTCTGATGCCACTTAATCTAGTATTCATCAGAGAAGTATCGGGCAAAAAGCTAGGGTCAAGCGTTGCATGCTTCATGGCATGTGCATTGAGTTCATCTTTGTCACACAGGTTCGGTTCACTGATGTGCAGCCGTATTTTTAAGGCGAGATCTTCAATGGAGGTGGTAACAAGTGGCTGATGCTGCTCAGGCTTTGAAGCTTGCATAAGTTGATCAGGATTGTATTGCGATCGTCTCATATCTTCGTACTCGCAATTCTGGTCGTCATTAGGCGTCGTGGAACCGTCGGGTGGATTGCAAGTTTCCACTACACAGGATTCCAATTCAGGCAAAATCGTGTCAGTATTGTCGACCAAGGATGGGTTTCTATTCCGCTCGTTTCCTCCGTAGAGGATTCGACAAATATTGAGATACGTCGCTTTGAAGGACTTGTGTGCGGGCTTAACGCTCTCAATAATCTTATCAAAAGAACTTCCACCAGGTTCTCTCCCCCTAATTTCATTAGTTGGTGCAGGATCATCGGGGCTGAGGAGCGTCGACACAGTTGAGGCGGGTGACTGCAACATGTCTGAAGTCGGCCATGCATTGCAGCCATACGTTTCGTTGTGAACTGGCCCAACCAAAGACAACTCAGTAGGTCGAGTTCGAGGCTCGTGGTCTAGAACTACTTCGCCATCGGTTACGATGTCGTGATGTCTTCTTAAGAACACGGTCGTTGCTCGTGGAGCAAGAGGCAGCGGGGGTAAAGGTTTCCGAGGAGCCTTCGGGATGGAGGTGCAACATCCCTTACTTGGTGACGGTACATCAATCTCTTGCTCGTGATAAAACGACTTCCGCCTGTAAAGTGATACAAATGAATTACATAAAACTCATTTTTTGTCCTCAAAAATCCACTATAAATGTACTGAAATAATGAAGGCGTTCCTGACATAATGAGCCACTGCTAGTAAATATATAACATAAACATGTCGCTAACAGTCCGACCATTATGATCAGTGACAGTGAAAATAAACTATATAATATATTTAATAATATAATCAAATTATGGTGTATGATAAAATTGAATATAAGGCCATGTCTGGCCTGTCATTGGTTCTAGATATTCCACAATGTTCACAACTGAGGCTCGAGCCCAAAACCTGCTGGTAGATTTTGCTCACTAAACCATCCAGCCGTCAAACCAATTTCAAATAGAATTTTCACAGAGCCGACACTTTAACCCGTTACTCCCAAGGCCCAAATTTTGTGAACTTAAAAATTCTTAGACACATCCTCCGTATTAAAAAAAACACAAAAAGAAAACAAAGTTTATCCAATATTTTTGCAGTCGTGAATCTCACTTGAACTCTTTCAGGAAGGCTTGTTCTGCCCCGTCCATTTGCTGCACCAGGAAAGCAACGATGGCCGAGAAATTTGGCCGCTCGTCGGGCGAGAAGCGCCAGCACGATCGAAGGAGGCCGACCATGGGCGGCGGACAGGAGGGAGGGACGGTCTCCAACAGAGTCTGTCCGCCGATTATATGGGGCTTGATCTGTGTGTCCTTCAGGTGCTGAACATTGGATAAATATAAAAATTTTGTTAGCAGTCCTTCAGGTCAAAAAAATATATACCGTATATATTTATAAAATAGATAAAAAGCGTAAGCGATTGCATAAATTTGCAAATAAATTTAAAATCTACCCGTAAATTCTCAATGTTCACGATTGAAAATATGGAAATAACAAGCAAAGCTCATTTGTATAACTGGACTATAATACCATAGATTCAACTTGGAAACTTATGGCCTAAAGAGAAAACAGCCGTAACCGCTGTACGCGTGGTTTGAAAATACTTGCCATTTTAATAAACAAGACGCTTCAATTTAAATGAATGTGACAGTCTGTCGTAATTTATGCCTGAAATTATGCAAACAGCCCCAGTGATTGTTGTTGATTTTTAAAATAAAAAGTATTTTATCGACTATTGGCGTCAGATGAACTCATATTGTACAAGCCATCTCTTATTTGCACTATGTTTTTAGGTTTATATATTCGAGATTGCAGTGACCTTATAAGGGATGTTGCCGGCCGTGAGCACCTCCCACAGCAACACCCCGTAGCTCCACACGTCAGACTCGTAGCCGTACTTGCCGGACTGGAAAAATTCCGGAGGCATTGACCGCACCGGAATCCTGCGAGTTCCGTCTGCGTGCAGGAAACAATAGAAACAGACTGACAACTTCTATGCTTTCGAGTGAATTTACCAAAAAAAGTAGTGACTAAATATTCATCATAAAAATGTCCACTAATTTATTAAAAATAATCGTATTATAAAATTTAATAATTTTCTATTCATTAGGCATGTATACGTTTGCAGCTGGCAATTCATGCATGTTAAGACAATTCGAGTTTCCCAATATACATATTTTGTATGATCATATTAGATAAGATGTAAGAGATGTAAAATATTATTTTTAGTAATGAAAATACGAGGCACTCTAGCATGGGGGCAAGGAAATGGATAAGGATACGAGACATGAATAAAATGTACACTTCAGTGGAGAGACACCACAGACGGCACCACAACACAGACGGCACCACAACACAGACGGCACCACAACACAGACGGCACCACAACACAGACGGCACCACAACACAGACGGCACCACAACATAGAAGACACCGTGAAATAGCTTTCGTTCGACCAGCGAGCGTCGTGACATCTTGTCAAGAAAACAGTTCTACCACTCGGAGCAGCAGTTGGTATTTTAATATAATAATAAAACGGCGTACGCATTGAAGGAAATGTGTGTCACCGATTTTGGCCATCGCGGAATATCAACAGCCATCTGTAGGTTTCAAACCCAAAACTCGTTGCTCTGATCTTGCTGATGTTGTCCACTCGGCCAACATCAGATAATCGATAAATAAACAAATTTTAGCATTCACAGCATTTGTTGACTTAGGAAACTCAGTCAGGGACCGAGAATAATTCGTTAAATAACTGACCTAGAACTTGATAATATTCACTGCCACCAGCGGCCAAGGGACGTGACAAGCCGAAGTCTGATATTTTGACGCAGTGGTTGTGGTCGATGAGGCAGTTCCGTGCAGCCAGGTCGCGGTGCACGATCTTGTTGTGGCGCAGATAGAGCATCCCGTCCGCGACTTGCATCGCTATGCTCACAACTTTCTGCAGAAGAAAAAATATTTAAATTTCATATAAGTAATGGGATACTACAAGGAGTTAATAGGACTGCGAGGCATCCTTTCCAGCAAAGCAACACCTGTTGATCTAGGACAGATTTAAAAAAATATAACTCAGTACTCACAGCAGTGAGTGACAGAGAGGGCATTTTCTCATCGACGAAAATTTGAGGTCACGGACAGACGGACGGACAGACGGACGGACAGACTGACGGACGGACATGGCGAGCACAATAGTGCATTTTTTCCATGAATGAGAAAATGCGCTAAAAATGGGCATAAGTCATTGTGAAACATAAGGCCTTTAACTCGATTTACCGTGACCGGTTTGGCAAAAAAACCAGCAAAGGATATCTCCGGTGATACGGCCCCGAAGATAGGGAATTATACGCTATATCCAAGTCATCAGAAATTAAGAAACAAACACAGTTTCCATCAGCAAGTCAAAAATATAAATGTGATGTATTGTATGTATGTATTGTATGGAAATGTGTGATGTATTCCGCTGAAATCTTTGGAGTCTAGGCACGGGATTTGCTGAACACGCAGCATATCCCGAATATCATAAATGGAAAGATTTGAAAGAGATCTATTTCACTTAGAAACATGTAACCAGTTCCAAATTAAAGTACAAAGAAATCGAGTGCTAGACTAACGAAAGTTCTATAACTCGAGTGAACAAACCTCGTACGACAGTCTGCTCAGAACATCGCCGTTGAGAGCGACCAGACTGAGCAGAAAGTCTTGCAAGTTGCCGCGCTCCATGAGCTCCAGCACCAGCAGCAGCGACGACCGCCTCACCACCACACCGTACGCCCGCACCACGTGACTGCAGCGCAGCGACCTGACACATGTAGGTTATACTTTACTTCTATACTCCTCTACCTTTTATCCGTCTTTACCCTTTATCCGTCTTTACCCTTTACTCTTTGTACGTATTTACCCTTTACCCTTTATACGCCTTTACCCTTTATACGCCTTTACCCTTTACCCTTTATACGTCCTTACCCTTTACCCTTTATGCGTCTTTACCCTCTATCCGTCTTCACCCTATACCTTTTATTCGTCTTTACCCTTTATCCGTCTTTAACCTTTATCCGTCTTTACCCTTTACCCTTTATCCGTCTTTACCCTTTATCCATCTTTACCCTTTACACTTTATCCGTCTTTACCCTTTAAACTTTATCCGTCCTTTACCCTTTATCCGTCTTTACCCTTTATCAGTCTGTACCCTTTACACCTTATCCGTCTTTACCCTTTACCCTTTACCCGTCTTTACCCTTTATCCGTGTTTTACTTTTATACTCCTCCTGACCACCACCCCGTACGCCCGTACCACATGACTGCAGCACAGCGAGCTGTCACGTGTACAGGGTTATACTTTACTGTTGTTACGTCATATTGGTGTGTCAAGAACGTGCTCTTGTCAAGCCAAGACGGTCGTTCTCTTGTCGTGACAAGACTGTCGTCTTCTTGTCAAGCCTCCTACTGCTGTCGTCCTGCAGTCGTACTATCGTTACAAGACAGTCTCTTTAATTTGTCAAGAAAGGTCTTTAACTTGTCAAGAAAGGTCTGTAACTTGTCAAGAAGGTCTTTAACTTGTCAAGAAAATGTCTTCAACTTGTCAAGAAAGTGTCTTTAACTTGTCAAGAGAGTCTCTTTAACTTGTCAAGACAGTCTCTTTAACTTGTCAAGACAGTCTCTTTAACTTGTCAAGACAGTCTTTTCAACTTTTCAAGACAGTCTCTTTAACTTGTCAAGACAGTCTTTTCAACTTGTCAAGACAGTCTTTTCAACTTGTCAAAACAGTCTCTTAAACTTGTCGAGACAGTCTCTTAAACTTGTCGAGACAGTCTCTTAAACTTGTCGAGACAGTCTCTTTAACTTGTCGAGACAGTCTCTTTAACTTGTCAAGACAGTCTCTTTAACTTGTCAAGACAGTCTCTTTAACTTGTCAAGACAGTCTCTTTAACTTGTCATGACAGTCTCTTTAACTTGTTAAGACAGTCTCTTTAACTTGTCAAGACTTTCATTTTCTCGTGTCTGAACAGTACAGTGGTCGTGTCAAGACATTCATGTTATCGCATTCAAAGCTAATGTCTTATGTTATGGCGAAAACGCTAATGTTATGATAGGCTAATGTTATGGCGAAAACGCAATAAAATTGCGATACCGTAACTGTTGATACAAATGTATTAAGCTATTTGAAGACTAAGTTTCTCCTACTACATTCAAATATTAGGCACAGAGAACTGCAGTAATATACATGAATTTGAAACAAGAACCAACACCAGGGGCCACGGCTATAAACTAAAAAAATTGCGCTGCAACTTCTCCACGCGACAAAATTTCTTCGCGCTTCGAATCACCGACATGTGGAACCGCCTTCCCGATGACATCGTTGGCGCTCCAAGTATGAACGCGTTCAAGAACAGACTAGATAAAGCTATGGAAAAATATACGTTCAGATTTGAAATGCCTAGCACCATATCGAACCCGGTGGAAGTCTAGTGGCTATTTCAAACTATCGTCAGTCATGAAAAGATCCGGTCAAATGACACGATTTTAGATCTTCTGTGAACAAGGCACGAAAGGGAAAAGAATCGGCGACAGGCCACATCAGGCCTACGCTTCAGCGCCGAGATCACTATGTTATGTTATGTAATAGGTCTCAAAACTAGCTACGCACAGCCCAAGCTGGCATCTGACAGGCGCCTGAGGAGTTCTTCGTCTCAGCAAAAACAGTGTCGGTGGAAAGACTACTACCCACAATACCGTTTAGAGAATAAGAAAAATGTTTAGCAAGATGCATGTCTTGCAAGATGAATGTCTTGCAAGATAATGGTCTTGAAAGATGTATATTTTGCAATAAAAATGTCCTGCAAGAGACATTTTTATTTTGCAATAAAAATGTCCTGCAAAATGTCCTGCAAGATGATCGTCTTGCATGACGAATGTCTTGCAAGATAAAAGTCATACGAGATAAATATCATGCAAGATAATCGTCTTGAAAGTTAATCGTCTAGCAAGATGTATATTTTGCACTAAAAATTTCCTGCAAGATAATCGTCTTGCATGACGAATGTCTTGCAAGATTAAAGTCCTAGGAGATAAATATCATGCAAGATAATCGTCTTGAAAGTTAATCGTCTAGCAAGATGTATATTTTGCAATAAAAAACGTTCTGTAATAATAAATGTTTGAAGAATGAAACTATCAAAGACTCTTGACGTACAGCATGATCTTAGCCTCCCGCAGTATGGCAGGGTCGTCGAGGCTGGCGTTCCTGAGTTGCTTGGTGGCGACGTTGACGACAGCACCACAGGGCAGCTCCAGCTCCCCACGGGACACCACACCGAAGTTTCCTCTCCCGATGTGCGTGTCTTCCAGACGAAGGTGGCGTGCGTCGTGGATGAAGACTGGGTCTATGCCCTGCAGCCACGTCGGTGAGGAACCTGAGAGATGTAGAGAGGCTAATGTCAAGTGGTACAAATAATACGCGTGTTATTTGATGCAAAATCTACCACTATACATCAGAACCTGAGGGCCGGCGTGGCAATAAGAGGCTAATGTCAAGCGGTAGAAATAATAGTTAGTTAGTTTAGTTTAGTGGCCAAATGTTTACTAGCGCTCCAGCTATTTAGCTATCGCGCACCGAAAGTCAAGATGAACATCACCATAGAGGTGGAAGGTCTCAATTATTCACTACGCGCGTAATTTAATATAAACATTTTTCGTTTTGAGTTGATAGTAAACACGTGCGAGAAATATGTGAAAAATTCGAGGTGATGTATTGGTGTCTACTATAACTACGGACCGTTATTTTGCTCTTTACCATGACTTGTTTAGCTGTGGAAGGATCTACGATACCTATGGCACCGTTATTTTGATCCGTTACTTTTTCGTTACTCGTTCCTCTTACTTTTGGCACCGTTACTCTACGCACCGTTATTTTGCTCTTTACCATGACTTGTTTAGCTGTGGAAGGATCTACAATACCTATGGCATGATATTTATATGTGAAATTAATAGGGAGTAGAACATGCATGATATCTACCAGTGGATTGAACAATGGGAAGAATATGTATGATACGCAGCAGTGGATCAAAAATAAAAGTATGAATGTACAATATATACCATATGGAACTATTTTGCATGATATGTAAACGGTATTCAACAGAAGAAACGTTATGCACGGTAGTTGATGTATGAGCATAATGTGCACGACATAATCAAGATTATGAACGGTATAACTAACCAGCATGTCATTTACCAGTGGACTGACTGATGCCACTTATGTTATGTTATGTTTGCCAGCATGCAATTCATCGTTGGACTTACAAGAAGAATACACGGTGCGTAGAACGTCGCTACGAGCGCTCAGCTTTTTTAATTTGGTATTTTTTCGTTGACGACAGCGGAGGAAGAGACACACCAGCAGCACGGCCACGATCACGGCCCCTGCCACGGCTGCGGTGATGAGGGCAGTTGCCAGCAGCCCGTGGGGTCTGGGAGTCTCCTTAATAAGAGAAATATAACTCAGTACTCACTTCAGTGAGTGACATTTTCAGTGAGTGAGAGCGCATTTTCTCGTCGACGAAAACGTGGTCACGGACGGACGGACAGACGGATGGACGGACGGACGGACGGAAGGACAGACGGACGGACGGAAGGACAGACGGACGGAAGGACAGACGGACGGAAGGAAGGACAGACGGACGGAAGGACAGACGGACGGAAGGACAGACGGACGGACAGACGGACGGAAGGACAGACGGACATGGCGAGCACAATAGTGCATTTTTTTCATAAATGAGAAAATGCGGTAAAAATAATAAGTTCTATTAACATCTGAAAAAAATTAATGGATGTGTTTTATAATTTCTAAGCATTTTAGACTAGTCAGGAAATTCCTTAATTGAAGAAAGATATAGGCAGGGGGAACACTTACAGAATTTCTGTTCTAAAATTTATCATTCGGCTGGCGAGTTGGAGATGGTCGGTGAACGAACAAGATTTTCAGGAGCTCAGCTCGACAACAAAGAAAGAAAATATTACCTGCATTCCAAATCAATGGTCTATACTAATATAAAAAATATAGATAGAGAAAAATGAGAAATTCGAGATTAGCGGCCGGTATCACGACAAATTTCAGGATAGCTCGGTTGTGACGGCAGAATCAAGACATCTGTGAGAAAAAAGACCCCAACAAATTATACAGGCGTGCGCGACTCTGCATTAGTGCCGTCTAGGACTCGATGAGCACGTAAATCAGCTTCTGATTCCGCTCGCTAGCTCGGTATGACTCCGACTCGGCCAACCCTTCTCATACTCTAAGCGACCATAAAGTCGGAAAGGAGATTCTAACCAGATGCTGATTTCGATCGGGTGGCCAAGCGGACCCAGAATAACTTTGCGCCGAGTGTAGTGACTATTCGGCCGATGCCTAGGCGGTCTCCGAATTTTCATAGGGGAAGGCTATAAACATCTTATTTAAGCAGTAAAAAAGTTAGCGAACATTGACTACTAAGCCCTACTTTAGTGAGCAGTTGGCTTGTAATATGAAAAACTCGAATTTGCTTGGCTATCAAATCCTAAGGAAAAATACAAGAGACTAATGACTATGATACTGCGAATAATAACTCATCCAAAAGAAAACTTTTAAGAAAAGCGGAGAATTTAAAGAAAATCGATGGCCAGCGAGACAGGCAACCTCACGTTAACCAAGAAGGACACGGTGACGGCCGAGGTGCTGGCGGCCGCTGGAGTGTGGGTGGTGACTTGCAGCTGATGGCGGCCGGCGGACAGATGGACGGAGGCCACGAGGCTGGTGTCCTCTGGCCGCACGCACCAGCGCTGCAGACAACAGTAGCAAAGGGCGTTATAAATGAAGTTCATTTCGAAAATATCGTAAAAAAACGCTAGGAAATTCATTAAAACTCTATTATATAACTTAAAATCTAGTCAAAGAACAGCAAACAGAGTGAAATAATAATTAAATTCATGTTAAGAATTAGCTGCATAGAGAAAATGCAGCACTCATGATATTTTGACACAGATTAAATACAACAAATGTTCGACGAATAATATAGTAGTTACCTAAGAATGATTAGGTCCAACACTCATCAAACAGATTAAACAGATATGACAATTGGCATTCATTCATGGGCAAACCTGAGCGTGATGGATAAATAAATATTACGCACCTAGATAAAAATGCATTAGCTAGCATGTATGTGATATAGATCGTTTCATTGTGGTAAAATTTTGAAAACTATTGACGACTTGTCGAAAGTAACCCGGACATATTTATGACACTTGTCAATGAATTTTACCAATTTAATGAAGTCAATTGATTTTACTGACATTGAGACGTAATGCAGGTCTCAATGACGAATAAACAAATTTTGTTCATCGTTCGAACGCATTTCTTGAATTAGGAACTCAGCAAGACGAATGATTTAGACTCTACGGTTTTTGACGACAGGTTTTAAGTATCTTTAATGTATAGTCCGATTAATGTGATCATGAATACGTTCGTAATATTCAATTCCAGTCATGACTCGTATACTCAATACGCATTATATTATATCGACTAGCGTTAAATTAATTATCCCTCATAACATTATTAAAGACCACCTTTCTTTTATTCGCAACAGCGATCCGATATATTGCCCTAAGGTTGTTTGTTCATGATACCAGCTTTCATTTTGTTTGTTCATAACCAGTTTGTTCACCAGCTTTCATAAGTCATTGATCACACTACGTAAATATAACAGCCCATCTAGCACTACGGCTTCTCCCAGGTCTGAGACAGGTTAGTGGAGAGTGAGTGTGATGGTGTAGATCTGAGACAGGTTAGTGGAGAGTGAGTGTGATGGTGTAGATCTGAGACAGGTTAGTGGAGAGTGAGTGTGATGATGTAGATCTGAGACAGGTTTGTGGAGAGTGAGTGTAACGGTATTTATGTATCAGTCTTCTATAAACTAGGATTGAGTCAGTCTCTAGCAAGACTGACGTGGGTGTTGAGGTCGTCGCGGCGGAGCAGCACCGTGTAGCCGAGCACCGCGCCGTTGGCAGCAGCGGGGGCGGTCCACGAGACCTGCAGTTTGCCGTCCTCAACTTCAACCTTCACGTCCCGCACCACGTCAGCGCCGTCTGTGCAACAACAGATATAAGACAGTGTATAAAGTGTAGGAAAATAAAATCTCATCATTTCTGTGCAATGCAAACTTAATATTTATCCGAACGCACGGTAGGGAGCTCGGTTGGTTATGCAATTTTCTTCTTATGGAATTTTTTCGGAGATGCCATACGATATCCCTAGCAAATGGCCTCTAAATTAGTCGTAACTCGTTCATGAAATGTTTCATGGTAAGAAGTTATTAAGAAAAAACGCTGAAACCGTCCCTCAATTATTGCCCCGTTTGCAGGTATATGAAACTTTATGTCTTGCACAGAGTGAATACAGAATGCAGGGATTGGGCTAAGTAGCGATCAACATGGGAAATTTCCAAGATATTTCCTAGGCTATGTCACGATAGAAGTTTCAAGGTCGGAATCAATTACAAACTACGTGTCATTGGCTAAAATGATTAACGACGACGTAGTTATTCATTGGACTTTGGAATGGCAACTCAAATGCAAATAATTGCATTTATTGCAAATGCAAACAATTTGCAAATAATTTCCCCATTATTCAACGCCGAGAAACGCACTATGAATGTTGATACATAAATTTAAATCTTGCCATAAACTCTTAATTCCAATTTAAATTCAAATCTACACAATACACGCTTGTAGGCAACATCAAGAAAAAAAAACATTAGAAGCAAATGAGATGTGCGTCATTTCGGGGTAAAAATAAATTATAAATTGCATTTCCGGCATATAGCTAATGCAGAAAATTTATTAAGGTATATGCAGAAATACCTTATATGAACATACCTCCAAATTGTTATCAAACGTGTACCTCTGGCACGAGTGTAGAAAATTTAAGTACATGCAGAAATTAAAGTATATGCAGAAATTAAAGTATATGTAGAAATTAAAGTATATGTAGAAATTAAAGTATATGCAGAAATTAAAGTATATGCAGAAATTAAAGTATATGCAGAAATTAAAGTATATGCAGAAATTAAAGTATATGCAGAAATTAAAGTATATGTAGAAATTAAAGTATATGTAGAAATACCTTATATTAAGATAACCTCAAAACACGTACCTCTGGCCCGAGTGTAGAAAATTCGTGTGGCAGGAGCTAGAGAGCAGCGATAGAGGCACCTCGCTGCTGCAGCAGCTGAGTCCAGGTCCAGTGCGCCGTCCAGCCGTCCACTCGCTCGCAGGGCTTCGATTGTGCAGTTTCCGTGCAGAAAATTACAAGCTCGCACCTGCACAAAATATCTAAATAATAATGAAAGAGACTCCGTGCTTTCTAAGTAAAGAACTTCTTATGAAACTTCACAGCAAAATTTGACAATTCTTCGATTGATTTTATATCAGGGCCTATACTTCCAAAAAATTAAGTGATCGTAAATTCATCAACCAATCATTGACGGCTTTCAAGCAAAATCCACCAATCATAGACAAGAAAATAGAGCGTAAGTACTTACGTTCACTTAGCGAGTTTTAAAGTTAAGCACTCAATTAACAATCACTCGAGTAAACAGCTTAACAATCAAAGCGTTAAGCACTCGAATAATAAAAATGAATTAATAAAATATTATCCTTCCAGACGACTTACTTACCTGAATGACGTATGGAGTGAAAGGCAGCAAACCAGGCACAAGAAGGGAGCGCGATAAACTGAATAATGTTGTCTGCCTCGATGTCATTTTTTCTATCGAGTCATCGTGAACCTTCGCTTCAAAATGAACATCATTTATTTTTGGACGATCAGCTTGGAGTGAAGGCTCACTTTTAATACGTTCTTTATTCGCTGCACCGTCAATATTGGTCATAGATACAAGTGTGTGGAGGGTTCCTCCGGAAACAGGTGATGTAAGAGGTGCTTCGTTGATGTTACGTCGGACTCTGACGTCCGTAGATGAGCTCAACGACGACGATGCCAGAAAACAGGCGGTAGTCTTGGCAGCGTCTGCTTGGTAACCTGGCCTGGCAATGAATAACGAACGATCAGTTTCGTATACTTGTAACAATTTTAATCTAAATCCCCACCATTGAAATCAAATACTCTCGTACTGAATTAAGGTTAAATAATAACATTGGCCTGTATAATGAATAACGGGAGAACACTTTCACAATTGAAACTTTGTTAATTTAAATCCCCAGTGAAATTCCAAATACTCTCGTGCTGAATTAAGGTTGAATAATACCATAACTGTATTACTGTGTAAGAATTGTACGAATCTACATTTAATAATGATCAACAGTAACTACTTCATATCGTAAGATAAGATCAAAAATTATCAATAAAAAAAATATTTTCACGCTCAGATTCGTCTCGGAAATGATAGCGTTTGAAATTGCTTTCTAATACTTTAATTTGGTAGATACCTTGAAAATCTTCATCATTTCTACATGATTATTCAACCATAATCGTGAGATTTTTTGCTAAGTGCCGAGTCGCTTATAGACAGGTTTTTACTAATTTTTCACTTTGAATCAAGTTTCGAAGACTTATCGAGTTCCCTTCATATGCACTAAAAATAACTAAAAACTAAAATATGCAGTTGTATCTGCTGGGTTCTTTACGAGCCACTAGGTAGACCTCTGTTCAAGATAATTGAAGTAATCATCCAAATAACGTCAAATAAGCGTAAGTAAGTGTGTTAGCGAGTGTTTCTTACCTGTACAAATAATTATTCACTTCCGCAACTGTTGCAGCCACACTAAGGAATCAATCGTCATCTATAGTTAAGTTACTGCTGCTTGCTTCCCAATAACGTCAAATAATCAAGTGCTTAAGCAATTATTTCTTACCTGTACAAATAATTATACACTTCGGCAACAGTTGCAGCAACACTAAAGCGTGGAGGCGCATCGTAGCGGCTTCCCAAGCCCTGAACTTCTTCCGCTCCGTAGTCGGGCTCGATCGTTCCCATGTTTTGCTCGATCGTTCCCATGTTTTGCTCGATCGATCCCATGGATTGCTCGATTGCTGGCCAGCCCAAGACCGGCCGATGAGCAGACTGCTCGTGTGTTGGCTTCGTGGAAGACAGAATTTCTGTTTTCAATGCTGGGTTTCCTGTAAGTTTTTCTGTACGGTGGAAATCGTTCTGAACGTTGTTAAGATTTGCAGCGAATTCATTTGGTAAAACTGAAGATTCATTGAAAGTTGTAACAGTTCTCTCGGTATTTACGTCCACATTGTCATTTGTTTCGTAGACTGATTTCAAATTTCCAAACGAGTCAACATCTTCGTCGTCGGGTTCACTAGTCTCATCAACAAAGTCATTTCTGTCCTTAGGTTCATCACAGAAATGTTCGTATGTGTGCACAGGGAAATGTTGTATTTGCTGGTACGACAACTGGTAGAAGTCGAGTCTGCCGTTGGTCAGCGACGGCGGCTGCCAGACCACGAGCAGTGAGGAAGCTTCGCGTCCTGCCAGACGTATGCCTGTGACTGCGCTCGGTGCTGCCACATTAATCAGATACATTATTTTAACAGCACTTTTCAGCGAGAAAAAATTCTAATGCGAAAATGTCCTTCAATATTTTATAAAGAAATAGATCGCAGTACTATATATCATGGTAAACATGTATGATATTCCTCAGCTCAATGTTCAATCACATTAGTACGAATATGAAAGATCCGAATGACTATATTAAAGATTTTGAAATTTACACCGACTAAGACCAAATAGCATTCTTCATACGAAGCAGGAAGTTTGTAGAGCGAGCATAAGTGCATACCGGCAGCCAGAGACTGGTTGCAGACGACGCGCGACTGTAAGGAGGCCGCCGTGGTGCTGAAGGTCTGCACGTAGAAGGCGTAGCGCGCGTAGGGCTTCAGACCCGCCGCTACCGTGTAGTGCATGCGGTGCCCACTTACCACGCCCGCCGTCCGTGACAGGTACAGCGATCTCCACGACCTGTTATACATGTGTGGTGGAGACAAATTTGTTGCTTTAATTCTATTGTTTTTGTCTGTTGTATTGTGTGGAATAAATTACGTGGAGATCGCGACAGGTACAGCGATCTCCACGCCCTGGTGAAATACATTTTGTTATACGCATATGTACCACTTCGGAGTCAACGTGTTAAGTTGTAATCCAAAATCCAAACACTCACGATGCAGGCATGACAACTTGACAGTCGCTGTTTTCAGGGATCGTCCGTAAATGAAGGAAAAATCCCTTGACTGGAGAATTCGGATCGAATTTCCAAGAAATGTTGACTTCTCCTCCCTCCAGAGGTGTGACCTGCAGCTCAACGATGCTCGAAGAACCTGGAGAGTGTGGGGAGGTGGTTGGTGGAGGAAGGTTGTGGAATTGAGAACCATGACAAGAAAAAATAACTCAGTACTCACTGCAGTGAGTGACAGAGAGCGCATTTTCTCGTCGACGAAAACTTGAGGTCACGGACGGAAAGACGGACAGACGGACGGACGGGGAGGTGGTTAGTGGAGGAAGGTTGTGGAATTGAGAACCCAACAAGAAAATATAACTCAGTACTCACTGCAGTGAGTGACAGAGAGCGCATTTTCTCGTCGACGAAAACTTGAGGTCACGGACGGACGGACGGACAGACAGACAGACAGACGGACATGGCGAGCACAATAGTGCATTATTTCCATAAATGAGAAAATGCGCTAAAAAATGATTATAATCTGCTGGCTGGTTAGCCTGGCGTTGTCCGGGATCGCTAATCCATGAAATTTATAATCTTTAATAACAAAAAATGTATGTTGATTGAAGAGAGATGAATTTAAACCCACATTTTACAAAAAAACATAGATTTTCAATCGAATGTCAGTTTCGTTTACAAATGTTTTAAAAATATATATGCGTACTTTATAGTAAATTTATATTGAATGACTATACTAAAAATTCGTATATTAATTAAAATTTTGAACTTCTGAACCAATAATATTCTTCCAAAAGGGAACTTTTGGAAGAATAACTTTGGAACTTTTCAGTCCAGGTGATAAGGTACGAAGATACGCGTAAAATTCAGCTCCTATGTATTTACAACGCCAGGCTACAAACACAAACTTTGGTAAATATATCTAATATTATAAGTTTGTGTAAGTTGACTTTTTGTCCGAGTGAATTGAGCTTTCCAAGGTAAATATATGCTTATTCTGTTACGTATTCATAATTTTTTCGTGACGAGATACACTACCTGGGCGTGAAATTCTACTTGTGACTGTGCGAAGCTGACACATCATGAAAATAAGTAGTAAATTATTTATTTAGATAAACAAGCTCTCTAAATTCTCCTCCTACATCGATCTCCTCCTTGACAAGACTCACATATCCTGGCATATCCATTGAGATCCTCCAGGACGTCGGCAGGCAGGGCGGAGGAGGCTCGTGTCCTGTTGGTGAGCGCGTACACGGAGCTCGGGCACAGGCGAGGGTTCCTGTACAGCAGCACCGAGCCCTGAGAAGAGGAGGGTTAAACGTTTGGCAACTAGTGATGGGGCAAACGTTTGGTAACTAGTGATGACATTATCTGGTGATGACATTAGAGGGGGATCGAGGTAAACGTTTGGTTCAACTTGTTATGACTTTAGAAGAGGGGAGTAAACGTTTGGTAACTAGTGATGGGGCAAACGTTTGGTTCAACTAGTGATGACATTAGAGGGGGGGGGGGCAAACGTTTGGTTAACTAGCGATGGGGCAAACGTTTGGTTCAACTGGTGATGACATTAGAGGGGGATCGAGGTAAACGTTTGGTTCAACTTGTTATGACTTTAGAGGTGCGGGCAAACGTTTGGTTAACTAGTGATGGGGCAAACGTTTGGTTCAACTAGTGATGACTTTAGAGGGGGCAAACGTTTGGTTAACTAGTGAAGACAGATAGGGGGTAAACGTTTTGTTCAAATAGTGATGACTTTAGATTAGGGTCTCCTTAAGTAATTTTCTCACACGTGTGAAAAATCGAAAATTTCCCAGTAAAAATATGCACCTACTTAATAGGCGTCCACTTTGTTGTCGCTCGACTCCAATTTTGTAATATTAGGAACATATTTTCTTTATTCCCGGCATTAATTAGTGTAATACTAATAAAATAATAAGTGGTCCTTATTCTCGAAATCAATTACTGTAACACCAATAAAATGTTGCTTACTCTGGAAATGTTGATGTCTCGTCCGGCAGGCCAGAGGTCCTCCAGAGCGTCGTTGTCGTACACCAGCAATGCGTACCTATAAACCATTAATAGTTCAATGGAAGAAACATATTAGGAACGATCTGGCAGCCTATACAATCAGGGAACTGAGTGAGACTATGTCAACATAATGATACATTTTTGCTCTGGACATTTTAATTTTTTCGATTTCGTTGGCCGGTAAAAATTTATGATAAGGGCATTTCCTTATTAAATTTTAAAAAATGTGAATGTAAGAAAGAAAAATGGAATTTTTCACTTCGGAACCTACAAATATACTAGTATATATTGATGCGTTTCAGGCCTTTTCTGCCTTTTTTGTCCGCGGACTTGGCCGTTTTTTAGGCCATCTGGCAACCCTGCCAGGTTCGGCTCGTGAAAAGAGCGGATCACCGCTACATGCAGGAAGTGCATTTGGACAATAATTAAGACCAATCCATTTATTTGAGTTCAGTGGACACCATGGACGTCATGCACAGAAAAATCATCTGGATCGATATACAAAAAGCTGATGCTACAAATAACCCATTTATGATCATTTTTGATGAAAAAAGTCCTCATTCACAACGTGATTATCATATGAAAATTTTAACAAAGTTACTAGCACATGTAAATCTTCGTAATGGGATTAGCACATTAAAACTTCCGCCAATGATAAGGAGATGAAAAACTATGAAAATATTCGACTAGTTGGAATATCGAGCATTAGACATTTTATTTGCTGCATATGAAACGTTTAAGAAGAGTTAAAGTGAAATGTCTGGGAAAATTTGTAAGAAACCGTCAGGTGGTTTTACAAGCGAAAATTAAAATATTTTAGAAGAGACGTCAGTGGCTGATGTACGGCAGCCTCAAGAGAATATTTTTGTAACGATATAATAAAATTACCTAGGAGCGTCAGAAGATTTTGGGAAAAGATGCTTCAATACTTAAACTTTACGACCGTAAAACATTTACAACAAAAAACGTGGATATTTTGATGCAAAGGAGACGTCAGTGTTGATTTAAAGAAGTAAATAAAAATATAACCCAAGAAGACCAGCAAATGGAAAACTCACTTGCCGCGATAGAGCTTTTCTCCACTCCAGCTATTGTTTTCAGCCTCGGGAAGACTTCAAGGGACATGGATATTTTTATATAAAACTTGAATATTTTGATACAAAAAAGGCGACGACGTTGATAAAAAGAAGGAAATGAAACAATAGCTTAAGAACACAAGCAAATGGATGACTCACTTGCCGCGATAGAGCTTTTCTCCAGCAATTATTTCCAGCCTCGTGAAGACCTTAAGAGACGTGAGCGCGGGGGTTGAGAACACTGCCAAGAAGTCGCGTACGTACGACAACATGGACAACGCGGCCTCCAACTGTACCGTGATGTTGTAAGTGTGGGACAGGCTAGGACCAAAGAAAACAATTTGATAATGAATAATGATAATGATAATATTTCGAGTTTATTTCATTCTGATAATGAAATAAACTCGAAAAAGAAACAAACTTTGCATATGGTTTGGCATTATATATCAATTAGAAACATACGTCTAGGACACGAGAAAATTATTCAATGTGATGAAGAAATAAACTCGAAATAGAAACATACTTTACATGTGGTTTGGCATTCCATATCAATTTTACTGGGCACAAAATACAAATGGATAATACTGGGCACACACTGAATCCCTGCTGATCATTTCTTGCTACTCGTTACGTCGGCAGTGGATGAATAGAATGAAGATATTACCCTTTATTTCATGTTTAGAATATAAGAACCATATCGCGCACTACCGGTATAATATATTTAATATCAACCGCAATGAGTCAATAATAAGATGTGTAAGCAATACCTGAGCATCAAGAAACCATCGACATGCGTACAGCCTCGGAAACTCTGCAGGGCCGCCAAGCTACTCAGCACCCTTCCCGGGCAGCGCTTCTCGCACAAACCTGTACATGAAATCAATCAACAATACGCAAAACTGGCAGAATAGCCAATACTTGTTTAAATTATAAGGTATTTGTAATTTTTTTTCATGAAGAAGCAGGTTGAACATTTTTCAATGGTAATTCGCGGACACAAAATGTAAGAAATATCAGAGCGTTTGCTGCAGAGGACAAAGCGTGAGGGGTGACCACGAGGCAGAGGACATAGCGTGAGGGGTGACTGAGGCAGAGGACATAACGTGAGGGGTTACCACGAGGTAGAGGACATAGCGTGAGGGGTGACCAAGAGGCAGAGGACATAGCGTGAGGGGAGACCACGAGGCAGAGGACATAACGTGAGGGGTGACAACGAGGCAGAGGACACAGCGTGAGGGGAGACCACGAGACAGAGGACATAGCGTGAGGGGTGACCACGAGGCAGAGGACATAGCGTGAGGGGTGACCACGAGGCAGAGGACATAACGTGAGGGGTGACAACGAGGCAGAGGACACAGCGTGAGGGGTGACCACGAGACAGAGGACATAGCGTGAGGGGAGACCACGAGGCAGAGGACATAGCGTGAGGGGTGACCACGAGGCAGAGGACATAGCGTGAGGGGTGACCACGAGGCAGAGGACAAAGCGTGAGGGGAGACCACGAGGCAGAGGACATAGCGTGAGGAGTGACCACGAGGCAGAGGACAAAGCGTGAGGGGTGACCGCGAGGCAGAGGACATAGCGTGAGGGGTGACCACGAGGCAGAGGACACAGCGTGAGGGGTGACCACGAGACAGAGGACATAGCGTGAGGAGTGACCACGAGACAGAGGACATAGCGTGAGGGGTGACCACGAGACAGAGGACATAGCGTGAGGGGTGACCGCGAGGCAGAGGACATAGCGTGAGGGGTGACCACGAGGCAAAGGACATAGCGTGAGGGGTGACCACGAGGCAGAGTACATAGCGTGAGGGGTGACCACGAGGCAGAGGACATAACGTGAGGGGAGACCACGAGGCAGAGGACATAGCGTGAGGGGTGACAACGAGGCAGAGGACATAGCGTAAGGGGTGACCACGAGGCAGAGGACATAGCGTGAGGGGAGATCACGCGGCAGAGGACAGCATGATGAACTACCAGGATATTCGCTGCAGTTGACACAGCGTGAGGGATGCTGGTGATGTTGGTAGCCGATGGGGCAGTCTGGAGCACACAGACGTGTGCCGTTCACCGTAACCAGCTTGAGTCCGAGTTGCTCTACACACGTCGCGTTACTGACGCAGAACAAGTTGTCGTACTGCGTAAGAGATTGATTTGTTTTGTTAAAATGCTTGAAAATGTCAAGGAAGATAGATATATTAGTATATGTACTTCAAAAGAATTAAATATCAACAAAATTTCAATAATTCCAAATAAACACTGAGATGAATTTATGTAGATTCGAAATTTTCACAATTTCATCCATGCAAATAAACTTTTTGTTGTTGCGGTGTTACTAGGAAATAGTTCAAATAAACTCAAATGACCCAATGGAGAAGAAATACGCAAATAATATACAATACCCACCTCATAATATCCAAATGGACAAACGTTCACACAATGACCGCCCATGAGGAACTTTTTGCAGGCGTTACAGTGAACTGCGCCGCCGTCCACGCGACAACCACCGGCGCACTGATCGGGGCAGCACGCGCCAGGTTGCGGGACGGGGCGCTGCAGAGTCTGAGATGTACGCGACGCTGAGGGATTATTCTGCTGGTCACGGAGCTGTGACGTCACGCAGCCAGAAGTGCAGTTGTGACACACTGCACGGTGTGGGGAAGAGGTTAGGTACTGGTACGATGAGAGGGCGGGACTGGGGGTGAGATACTGCGACGCTGAGAGGGCGGGACTGGGAGTGAGATACTGCGACGCTGAGAGGGCGGGACTAAAGGGTGAGATACTGCGACGACGAGAAAGCGGGACTGGGGGTGAGATACTGCGACGCTGAGAGGGCGGGACTGGGGGTGAGATACTGCGACATGGGGAAGTAAGTACATGACAAACTATTGAACCGTTAGTTGCAACATACTAACCAGCTCTAATATTTTCAGAGGACTAAAAAGACATTTTTACTAATGTGACTGCCGTTTATCATAGCGGTAATGGTAGTTTTTGGGTGCTTACTTTTCTGTTACAATTTCCCTTTCCACCGAATGCAATAAAAAATCGAATAAAAAATAATCATATTTATCAAGAGATTACTAACGAAATAATTTTTGGATCTTGAGCCCTACACAAGACGGTCACTTCCTAAATGCTCATAACGCTTCGTCTAAACGCTAAGAGTTGATTTGACCAGCAACGTGCGAGTTCAAAGCCAGCTCGCTCAGCAGCAATCGTGGCTCCGGTGTGCAATATTTCGTAATGCCTTTCTTCTCCCGGTTTGCGGTGTTAACTGAAGATACAGCTAACTTATAAAATGTAGTTATGTTCCAAAGATAACACATTTTTACGAAGGTTCGTTCAGACACCCTAGTGAAATTAATGCGAAAAAATTGGCTGCTCCACAAGCATTAAGGCATCAGCTCTGGATCAATCGCAGGCTGGTCTGTGAGGAAGGTGAGCGCTTTGGGTAACTCACGGTGGGGCAGGGGGGACACAAATATGAACTCTTCTCCGACCCACCTTAGTGCGCCAGCGGTAAACTGACAATAAGGTTACTACGACAGCTCAGCTCCAAAAACATGCTTCTCGCATTCACAAAACCAAATTTTACTCGTGCAAAAAATGACATCGAAAGTGAACCATTTCTATCGTTCACACTAATTTGATTTTTTTCGTTTCGTTTACTCTGGTTAAACAAAGTTGATGTGTACAGCAGAGGCTAAGGTTCAGTTGAAGAAAATAAGACGTATTTAGTTAAAGCAACTGAAGGAGCAACCGAATTCTTAATATATACTGCTACGTGGCAGTTTAAAGAATTGTACAGTTATATTAATTTGATTCTTCTCGTTTCGTTTGCTCTGGTTGAACAAAGTTTACGTGTGCAGCAGAGGCAGCGGGCACGCACCGATCTGGCAGTGACGCCGCGACCAGCAATGCGATGCGCCGTCGGGGCCGCGGGGACACGCGTCGCTGCACGCGCCGCCGCTGCTAGGGCGCTAGGGGACGACGATGTTAGGTTGGTTAAGCCTGAAGAAAACATTCCTAGCATTGATACCGCAAGAGAGAATGTAATACCGTGGTAATGACTATCATTGCCGCCAGAGTCAGTTTAGATCAGGCGGTAGTGGAAGAATCATTACCGCGGTCAGTTTCAACAACACTGCTACAGTACAAGTATCAAAGCTCCGACAATGTTGAGTATCAACGCTCCGACAATATTATGTATAAACGCTTCAACCATATCAACTATCGATACTATCTATCCATTGATCTCTTGATTGTACGCACTAAATGCCATGTTTGGGATTTCAACCGCTAAGGACACAATAGGCGCACATTGTAGCCTTCCTTTCCCACCTGGATCCAGTCGCGGGTAGCGGCAGCAGGATCAAGCTGGTGCAGGGACGCTGTGTCCAGCCCGTCCATCGAGGACAAATTGCCGTTGCCAGACACGTACACTGAACCGCGACCCAGACTTTGTAGGCTCCACAGATCTACGCTCTGCGAGTCCAGTACTGGGATTACTTCACCAGCAACTGATTCGTGATTATTGTGACATGATTCGTGACAGCCATTTATTGATTGATTATTGATTCGTGACAGCAATTTATTGATTGATTATTGATTCGTGACAGCCATTTATTGATTGATTATTGATTCGTGACAGCCATTTATTGATTGATTATTGATTCGTGACAGCAATTTATTGGGATGCCCAATCTGTCCTTAAAAGATAGTAGGAATCTATCCGATTTCCTTCTGATCCACAGCTGTGAGGAATCGTCGAACCTCAGAGGAATTTTCAGAAGGGAGATAACAAATTACACTACAGAGCATGGCGGAAAGGTAGAATGATACCGTATACGATGCATTGTGGGATTTTTATATTTCCCATTCAATTAAAATTACGGAAAGACTCGTTTCATAGCTAATTTTACTAGCGAAAATGGCCACCTGGAGTCCTGTATATGCGATGACGAGCGAGTGGTCCCCTAGCAGCTGTCGTCCTCGGATGAAGGCGAGGGAGGGTAAAAGTGTCGACAGGGACGGAAGCCTAACTACTGAGTAGATGAACACAAATCCCGTTACTTCCCGCAGCCGGGGAAGGGAAAACTGCGTCCAGTTCTCCGCTTCATTCTGTAGACATTTATTATGAAAATTTAAAATGTTCATGAGCTCTCGTTCTGTATACATTAATTAAGTTTAAAAATGTTCAAGAGCTTTCAGGGTTAACATATAAGATGGTAAAGTTAGGTAGTCATTGATGGTTCTCACTCTACATTTTTTAACAAGTCGGCAAAACCAGCATCCACTCGCTTTAATAGCTTAATTAGGACTCAAAATACCTATGATTGAACTGAACATTTCAAGAACATTACTCACATATCCGAAGAACGCAATCACGAGGTTGCCGTGAATGATATCACATTGCGCCAAGGTCTTCAGCACGTCCATGATCCGCTCTTCATCCTTAACAATCATGCCAGGGCAGACTGAACAAATTTCAATACTGAACTTAGTAAGGCCTCTTACAAGACAGTATAAATTAATTGCACTAATATGCTTTACAGCGGTAAAAAGTCCAGTTATAATATCACGAGTATCAATTCAGCCGTTTCTAAATAGGAATTAGTATTGATAACACCTGAAATTTAACTCAATAGTTCTCGCCTATCTAGAAATTTATTCTAGATAGGTGGTCCCTAGCAGCTACTCTATACAGTAACCGATACTAAATATGATAAGAAACATTATTCATTATTAGGTTCGCACTACAAGTGAGGGATGATGGGTCAAATAATTCAAAATCAAATAAACCAGATCGGCAAGTTTAATAACCACGCATAAAGTTTAAACGTTGATATCGACCAACTAAAAAAAAAGGTCTCAATGAATAAAAATCAACAGTCGAAAAACGTAGCATTATTAATGCTGAACGTTATAAGGAACCAACATTGACTAATACAATACAAGAGTTTTTAAAAATGAGGATTAACTTGAAGGTTTTACATTAACAACTTCGATTAGTTGTCTTACAACGATATGAACATCGGATAATTAAAACAAAAATTTCAATTGAGACTGTTGGTCACACGAAAAATATGAAGTCGTTGCCAAAATTTTTGTCACATGGTCATATTTATTTCGAAAATTTACTGAAAACTGAACTGGTGAAATTTGCTCTATTTATTGTATTTATTAAAATTTCAGACATTTTGTAATTGTAAATCAGATATATTGAGCTTTAACTTATAAATTTGTTGTAGCGTACACTCAAGTCTGAAATATATAAAATTTGCATTTCCAGCACGATGGAGTCTTAGAGCTGCTATCAAAAAGCTCCGCAAAGATTTTGGCATTGAAGAATTGACGCCAGTAATTCTCCAGATTTGAACTCCATCGAAAGTTTATGCGCCATTTACAAACAGAGGGTAAACACAAGTCAACCAACTTCTACAAAGGACTTTCAGGACTGGATCCGCATAAACTGAAATCTATTGATGCAAACATTAGGATTTTGATGTCTACTACCACGCCTATATAAGAGAATAGGAGAGGTTCTTTGTAACAGCTAGGGGTCTGCACTTCATAAATTAAAACCTTGCCATATTTCGAATTTTTTCATGGAAAATTTGCCATACTTCTAATTTTTCGTGCCGGATTTCGTTCTTGTTATGGTTTTATTTTGTATTCAAGTTGAAAATAAATATTTGCCTTTTCCGATTTTACTTTAGACCTCGTAATTAAATAATCCAAAAAATATCGCTTGCGACAAAAGTTTTGGCCACGACTGTATTTCAAAAACGTAGTCAATTATGCTTCCATTTTCCATAGGTCTCCTGTAAAATAATGAGGTATTTCTAGACAAAGTAGACTGTGTTACGAGATTGAACCAATTTTAGATTCTTAATAAGTTTGGCTTTGCTATTGTAATCGTTACAAGTTCAGCAACGTTTATTCAACTCGAATCAAGTAATAGTGAACACCTGACCAACGACACTTACTTGTTTTGCCCCTTCGATCTCCAGTCGAGAACCAAATCCGTCTCGCCGAACAATTATCGTCATGCGAGTCCGCGACCGCGGTGTTGGCGCTGGACTTTGGGTCGGAAGCCCAAGCAGTAGCGGCAGCGAGGCTAAATAAAACGCTTGCAATGAGCATTGCTGCATCGCACCTCCAAGTGATGAGCAACATGATGGAGAAATATCACATTTCCTGTCTGAAATACAATGGAATTATTAGGTTACAAGTGCGAACGGAGAAGAAAATACAAGGAAAACTCAATAATTATACGAATCCTCACATTTTTAATTTCAAGATGTAAATAAAGCTATGCAAATTCTAATGTAAACGTTGCAGAGGCCAAGCTTTTCTTCAGTGTTGGTACGACGTAAAGCAGCTTCTATACTAGAATGGCTCGCACATAAAGGCACCCAATCATCATACTGAAACCTTATCTGGTCAACTCAAATCATTCTAATGAGCGCATTCACGCTAAACATATCAACACCCTGTGAACGATGAAACTATTTACAACAAGCCTAGTTTGAATACCGCTTTTGCTCTAATTCGTTTGAATTTATCAAGAGATATGGTTTTTTCTTTCATTCATTACCAGCTAACCTTTCATTCACTATTTCACTTATGCTCCAATTCTGGAGTGATTCTTTATCATACTGATATAATTCAAATACTTTTTTCAAAGATGACGAGGTTTATCTTCGAAAGTGTTTTACTTCAATGGAGAATATGTTTATGACAGTTTCATTCCTGTTAGATTCTTTGATGATTTGCGATATGAGCTGTCACGCGATCTTGATACTAGAAGCAAGCACTGTTGTGGAGAGCTTCAAATTATGTATTTGTCATCACTGAATAAATGCCTAGCGATATCAAAGCAGTAATTCTGCACTTGCTGCTGCATGAATCTAAGTATAGATGAATAAAGAATACCTCGGGACCAGTAAACGTAGCCGCAAATGCAAACACCCCAACCCTCCCGCCACGACGACAAAATCCTGGAACAATGCGTTATTGTAGCTGCTATTTGAAGGACTAATTAAGGAAGCCAAAAATTACATGACAATTTCAGTAACCTAATATGCTGACCGACGTTAAATAGAACGAATGCATGATGAGAAGTATAAAATGTATTACAGGTCACCCGCGGGAATCCTGGGGAAGAAATACCAGCAGACTGCGCTGCTACAGCTTGAGCAACGAAAGTCGAATACATTCTGGTAATGCTTCTATAGAAATAAGTATTATTTCGAGTATTATTCATGTCGTGTGGGTTCGCATAGAGAAATTCTACGTTCTGGAACAGTTCAACGGCTAGTTATAACATCTCACGATTTATATTTCAGATCAGGTAATGTATTTTTAGCTCATTTACATCATATCGACAAGTAAATCATTAGTCGCACGACTTTAAACTCTCGAATACAACGCTACGTCGCAAACAACATGCTTGCCAGTAGCACCTAGAGACTAGCATTACATCTTAACGATTTCAATCCTAAACATTAGGCGAATACATATTGCGACTGATAATTCATACGCGGGAGATTTGAGAACTATATTGGCCCAAAAACATGTTAGAATGGATATATATCAAACCATCGTCACCGCTAAGTATTATAGCAGAGCCAGAACTGCTCAGGGGGCTGATCGCGGCAAAGGTCTCGTTCCAGGGAGGAAGGAACGCGTCAAAAGCTGAGGTTGCACGTAAACAACTCGATTAAACTGAGCCAGTGTTCCCTCTTCGCCCGATTATGGATATACGTTTGTTTTCCAGCGACCCTCTGATTAATGGAAGCCCGACCGGGAGGACATGCAAGGGGTTATGGAGTTCAATCCCCCCATCGTGCACTCCCCGTCTTCCACTTAGGCAGAATTAACGCCAGTCGGCAGCCTCGCTGCGCGTACAAAGCTGTCGGCTCTAACGCTGCGCGTACAAAACTGTCGCCTCCAACGCTGCGCGTACAAAGCTGTCGCCTCCAACGCTGCGCGTACAAATTAAGCTGTCGCCTCCAACGCTGCGCGTACAAAGCTGTCGGCTCCAACGCTGCGCGTACAAAGCTGTCGGCTCCAACGCTGCGCGTACAAAGCTGTCGGCTCCAACGCTGCGCGTACAAAGCTGTCGCCTCCAACGCTGCGCGTACAAAGCTGTCGCCTCCAACGCTGCGCGTACAAAGCTGTCGGCTCCAACGCTGCGCGTACGAAGCTGTCGCCTGCAACGCTGCGCGTTCAAAGCTGCCGGCTCCAACGCTGCGCGTTCAAAGCTTTTGGCTCAATCGCTGCGCGTTCTAACGCCGGCTCAGTCGCTGCGCGTTCTAACGTCGGCTCAATCGCTGCGCGTTCTAACGTCGGCTCAATCGCTGCGCGTTCTAACGTCGGCTCAATCGCTGCGCGTTCTAACGTCGGCTCAATCGCTGCGCGTTCAAAGCTGTCTGCTACAGCGTTGCGCGTAAAAAGCTGACGGCTATGGTGTGAAAAACTTTGAAAGTATAGGAGTTTAGTGCTGTATTCACCAAGAAGCTTACAGGTAACGTGCTTTATTCTTCTATTTCATGATGTATCAAGCAATGCTTTGCAATGACTTACAACACAGGTAGGGAATAATATGAATAGTCTTGTATAATTGAAAGAACTTCCCGGCGAGCTCATCAGAGTAGTGCCTGTAGGCCAGCTGTGGATGGAGCCGTTGTTTTGACAGGCTGGAAGAGGCTGGCATCAGTAATGCATTACGGCCTTGATGGATCAGTAGCTGAGGCCCGATCGGGATCAGGAAGTTTATTTTCAGAAACTTACGACCACATCTTAATAAATCATAATGATAGAAAGTAATCGATGCATACCGGCTAGTTAGGATAAGTCGGCATTACGTATATGGTTCTCGGCAGAGCGGTAGGGGTATTTTTCAATAATTTTATTAGTTTCAAAACTGGAGGGAGTCTGAACTAGGTAGGATGGTTAGGAACATACATGCGCGAACCAACGAGTCGGTCAGGATTATGACCTGCAACCACGATACGTACCAAGATTCTCGTTCGTCACACCAACATGCAGGTTTGATTCTTGAAAGCAACTTCCAAAGTCGTGATTACTTGCCAAGAATCCAATTTGGATTATTAAAGTGCTGTAAAATGATCTTGAGTTCTTAAGAGCACGGTGATTGACGAAAGTCTTGATTAATTTGCTATCTTGCAGAAGAAAACAATCCTATGGAGGCACCGAACCACATTACGAGATTTCCAAACTTTGGTAGTCGGCGGGAACCTTCTTATAGACACAATTCTTCGCTAGACTTACAGGCGGGTTATCGACGTTAGATGGCCGTTGGCTGCCGGTGCGGAGGCGACTAAAACATTCAATGAGAGTTCCCCATTAGCGTTCGATGCTTCACTGTTAGTGATGGAATCGTCTCTTTATCTCCGCTATATTCAGTACAGGTCAAGTTATCTTATATAAATTTAAAATAAAATAAAAACATCCATTTAAGTATATTAATGACGGAGTGATTCTTGAATTATAGTCAACGACGTTAAGAAGACTAATTTCCATCATTCCAAAGATAATTTTTCTTATCATTGCGTAACAGTAGTTTTCCATGAATATACAAGACAAGATAGAGGGCAGGACAAAAGTTTCACTACACCAGGACATTATAGAGCACGCTATAAAAGTGCAATTATTCTAATCCAATTTAATTTTATTAACTCTGAACTTACCGCACGAACTTGAAGAATAATTTGCACGTGTCACACAGCGGGTTGCGGCAGCTATTGAAGCATTATTGTGTGGCCACGCGAAGAACAGGATTAATGATCAAAACGGGGTAACCCTTGCTAGTGAGGGCTTCGTTGCATCAATGATACAGATAAAGCATCAAATATGACATGGGGCGTAGCAAGTGATTTCGATATATCAGCAAACGAAACGTTACGATCATTATTGGGCTTACGATCACCAAGAGAATTTCAAAGAGAGTGACAGGTTTGTGAGATGTGAAACTTTTATACGCACCTTAACTGCCATTCTCAGGACTGCAGGACTAATAATATGCGTTTAAAAATAACTTTTTAAAGGTAACACTTCCTAAGAATCCAGTGTCTCCGATGTTACACATGTACAATCAATTTCAAATGTTATTTCCAAATATTAAAAAATTAGTTTAATTTTTTAATATATAAAAAATTAAATTTCAAAATTATTTATTCTATCAATTGATTCATGCATTGTGTCCAACATTACGCAAGTGTGCAAAATTTCAGATCGATTGGAGAGGTAGAAGTGTGTTAAATATCGATTACCCGGGTATAAGATTTGTAGCAGACAAACAAACAACAAAAAGTTAAGTTAACGAGAAGTGTTGTAAAAATTAAGCCAAAATCTGCGATGAGACACCACGTACATCACAGAGCAGACCACGTCAAAATTGAGCGTCTCAGAGCAGATTATTTAACCCGAAGTTTCAAGTATGACCAGTTAGAACAGAAATACCGCACGGCAGACAATGTCCCGCTGGATTATTCTAGATCACAGCACGTACTACGGCTGCAGTATTACAAATCACTCCATGTCAGATTGGACCCATTATTAAAACATAACATTAGGAAAATTATAACCGTCCAAAAGTACCCCTTTTGACATTGACACAGTGAATCGCTGGACACTCCAGGAGTTTTTCTCAAAGCTTAGTATAAATGAAATTTGCCATTCATTACAATTCCGAATATCAAATAAATGCATCTTAGACTTTAAATAAATTTCAACATTTTCATTAAAATCATAGACGTTTGATTGGTCGTCGATAGAGCGACGAACGTCATGAGGCGCACCAATAAAGAGAGAGAGAGGAGCAAGATTAATGACATGTTTACGCGGTCCCAGAACTGGAGGCTATATTGCAGGTCCCCGTCAGTTGCATCGAGGCTGTTTACACTCAAAACCCAGTCACCGGACTCTCCATGAAACCATCAGATTAATCGTCGCGGTTTTCATATACTTATAGACCGAAGGAAACTATTCTCTCAGGAATAAAGATAAATCTTAGTCTGTTGCAAACCACGAAGTTATACAACACAGTCACTAAAATGTGGCTGTGACTGGAACATTTCGAAAAGGACGAGCGTAACTAAATTCCTTTGATCCGTATATATAATACTGAAAATATTAATTGAAAACCAAGCAACGAGTGCATCGAGACTGACACAATTT